CAAATGACTTCTGTTTGCTCGAAAGGTTTTAAAAGTGAAATCAAATATTAATAGTTATCAGTGTGACTGACCAATAGGGCTCTTAAATGGTGGTGTGTGTGTGACTGTGTGTGTCTGTATGTGAAACTGGGGGGGGGGGGGGTTGGGGGGGGGGGGGGTTTGGGGGGACACCCACTCCTTTGTCTCATTTCTTTTTAAGTTTTTTTTTTTGTGTTTGAAGTTTTAAAAAGTAAAAAAAAAAATTTAAATTTTTAGGTGTGTCTGGAAAGAGTGGTGTTTTTAGGGTGGGGTGGGGTTGTGTTTGGGGGTTTGTGGGGAGGGGGGGGGGGGGGGGGGGATTGGAGAGGTGAGGGATTTGGTGGCTGGGTAATAGACACAGAGTGGGTGGCTCCATCGAGGACAGGTTATGGTTGGAGTGCCAGACTCATGGTTACCAAGGCAGCTGACTTCCATTTCACCTGCAATAGATGTTATTAACCTACTTAAAACAATGCAATAAACACCTTTGGAAGTCAAGAGATCAGCTTAAACCACGGACAAACTTTGTTGAAGTAATGATAACATTGTTACTTACAGTAACTGTAAAGGTGGGTTAACATTTTAATCCTTCAATCTACCACTAATCTGCATCTAATTTCTCCTTATAAGATCACTGCTCAATCAAACATAGAGGACATGACAAAAATGGAAAAAAAAGGGAAACTAATACAGAGAATATATGGACAGTACAGGAGAACCTGTTGATATTAGGGCTTTGAGGGTTAGTAGAGTACACAGACACACCTTTGTTTTACCTACCTCTTTCAACTCTGGTCCTATCCTTTGGACTCAAATAAGAGAAAATATGGAGCATGGTGTATTCATTTAGCTTTAAAATGGGTGACCTGTAATAAAATTAAAATGAATACTTTTTGTTATTAATATTGGTACAGAGCTCACTGTATTACTAGTCAAAAAATAAAATTTCCTTTTCCACTAAGGTGGCAATTCTGGTAATAAAATATAGCAGGGTTGGGGGAGGAGGGTGGTTAATATGGTCTATATGGGTATGTGCCACTTTGAAGGAAATCGTTTTACAGCAGTCTACTCTAGGATAGGGTATAGACATCAAAGGGTCTTGGTCTAGAATAGGGTATCATTTATTGGAAATTAATCAGTGGTGTATGTAGGAAGAGGTTTTGTTTAGCTAGATCTTAAGAATTCAAAATACTGGGCTAATACTAACTTAAAAAGTGGGTAATTGTTTGAACAGATGGACGAAGAAAAAGAACCAAGAATTGTTTAGATTATTTTGCTTAATATACATACACAGATTTAGGGTTGTTAAGATTCTGCTTGATAGCATCATCTTCCATTGTAACATCTCCCAGTTCCTGGTTACTGCCACCATTTTCAGTGAAAAATTCAAGAGCTTCCTACAGCATAAAAGTGTCAAGAGAGTAAGCACAAAGGAGCTCCACTGAATTTTTCTTTAGACTATTCGTACTCCCTGCCAAGGAAAGTTTGTTTTGTTTAAATATCACACCCCTTAACAATTTAGTCAGTTAGAATACCTTTCCCCAAAAACAGTGTTCTGGCAGCTGTAACGGAGCATTCTGGGTACCAGTATTAATTTATTATTAGTTGAAAACATTTGGCTTTATTAATTTTTTAAACCTTTCAGCCACGTAAAATAGCATTTCAATCTCACACAAATATTATAGACATTTTGTTTTTAGAGCTCAGAATTATTTTTTAGTTTAAGTTAACTGTAACATGTTCAGGCTTCTTCCTTTGGATTCACTTTCCATTTTTGCATGTTTCTGTACTAAATTTTTACCCTCTCACCACTGTTCCCACAATCCTGCAATCCTCAAGTTTTCTATCAGGTGATGCTACTCCCAAAAATGTTTTGCAAAGTGTCCACATTTCCTTATCTCCAGATACCCAATCGCATGTAGCAGATAGGAAGAACAGAAAAGTGATAGGGTAACGAAAGTCATGTTGAGGAAAATGTGTAATTAACTTGCATCAGGTCAAAATCTTATTTTTATCTCTGACATTTAAGAAAATACATAAGAAAATGGAACTCATGTTTCTTACTGATCTTTTGAAATATTCAATTCTATAAAAATTAATTTTTGTTAAATACCACCTACTAAAATCATTAAATTCATGTCTTCCATTTATAGCTATGATAATCTAGAATACTATTCCCCTTTTGGTCCCAAATATCTACCTTCTAATTTAAGAAAGCTGAATCATGGATCCTGAAAAATCTATTGGGGACCATTATTTTAGGAGCTACCTTTAAACTAGTAAACTAGCAAAGTGCCAATGAAAAGCTAAATCATTTACTTCAGTAGCTAACCTTTAAAGTGGGCTCTTGAGCAAATCCCTTTGATCCTGCGCAAAAGAAGAGCACAGTTATTATCGATACCAAAGAGTTAACTGTTATCATGGTCAGTATGGATAAAATCATCTGGGGCACAAATTATCTACACCGGTAGTTACAGATGGCCATTTTAAATCAATAATTTTATTACAGACACTGACAAACCTTTTTTCTTCCTTTCAGGAGAACAAACTTTCATGATTCTAATTTAAAGAGAATAAAAGATCCACAAATTAATAATATTATGTGAGGGGGACTACACTTGTAAAACTATAAAATGCATATTTATGCCAGTTGTTACTTATTAATGAGTAAATAAATTGATAGAAATAAATCACGTAAATGGTAACATATCCATTTACCTCTGATGTTCCAGATCAAATTTTCATTTGGAAGATGTTGGTTGTTGAGTGAAAGGTAAAAACTTACTGGAGTATTTGAAGCAAAACCTCACAGAAAAAAATGATGAGAAGCAACAACAGATTCTCTTATTCTACTGATATGTTAGTTTATTTTCCCTAAGTGATTCATGTGATTAATGTAACTTCTGACTCATTTTGTTATTGTTGTGTTTTCCCATAGTGAGTGAGGCTATTTCAAAGTGCATTGTATGTTCCGTAAATACCCACAAAGACCACCAAAAATTGTGTAATGATCATGAGGTATTCAACTTGAGTTCTAGTAACTACCCTTAAAAAAATCTTTCAGAAAATGAGATGACTTTCTGATTGTCACTGGATCATCACTGATTTGATAGGCTTTTGAGACGCTTTGTTAAAATTACTCTTGACGATATGACCTACTATCAATAAGACAATCGATGATGATTTGACATAGTTTGTGTTTTAACCTTTCTTCCAGAGTTCTTTCTTCATCTGAAGAGTTCTTTGCTTTGTTTGCTTCCCATTCATTGCTAAAGGTCACAAATCCAAAGCTACAAAAGAAAACATATATAATTGGCCTGTTATTGTGTCATTATGCAGCTTATTGAAATTTATGCTGAGATAAACTGAACACTTTGTTTGCCCACTTTTTCTTATACTTTTGGGGGTGCTACAATAGCTTCACAGGGTCCTTTCGGAATTTACAACTTCTCTGTCTGAGGACAGGCCATTATGTTCATGTTACTTTATGCTGATCATACTTGTGGAGTGTTCTTCTCCCCACCAAGCCCTCCTTTTGCTGAGTATATGGTAGGTATAATAAGGTTACGCTGGTAAATACTTAGCCTTCCACGCAGACGTGCGATGAAGCCCTAAGAATGTCTGCGTGGGAGGCTAGTAAACACTGTGATGGCTGTGCCCGGGTGGATGCTACTCCCAGTGCTGTCATTGCTCCATGCTGAACTGGGTAGCCGTTCTTGGCTCCACTGGCCCAGCCCTCCAAGCACAGGCATCTGCCTCCATTCCTGGACTAATTGATAAAGTAAAATATAATATATCCTCATCAAAAATAAATAATAATTATTTATTTATTACTTTTTAATCAAGGTAATTATTAACAGTAACTTAGCTGAAAAAGAGCACTAGCAAATTCTACCAGCAGATCAGTCTAAGATTCTGGGAAACTGTCCACCTACCCTTCCCCTAACCCAAAATTTTGCCTTAAAGGGGCTATGTCACGACATCACGAAGTTAGTGTTAACGCTGGATTAATTAGGGGAGAGGTAGGTGGGGAGTTTCCCTGGCAATAACAGGTCATGTTTAATTAAATGCAGAAAATGTGCACCTCGAATTATGTGGCATACTTACCCTCTAGATCTTTTATTCATGCGATTTGTAATGATTTCAGCATGTACGACTTTTCCAAAATAGCCGAAAAATTCCTTCAATTCTCTTGACTTCACTCTATAGCTCACGTTGCCAACAAACACTTTACATTTATTCGCGATAACCCGTGTTTTCCGACAAAACTCTTCGGCTTTTTGCTGCAGTGACCTAGACTCTGAAGGGATGAGGCCACTTTTAAGACAGTTATTAACCTGGACAGGTAGGGCGAGATCTAAGTCAGTGTCATTAGCAACGATAGATATCAGTTGTGCCAGACCTTTGTCACGTTTTAGGTGATGAAGTGCTTTGAGTTTGTCTAAGTTTGGGCAAAGTCTACTCATCTGCGTGCAAGGACGACTTCAGTAATAACGACCGCCTTCTCAAGCACAAATTTTCACTATGTAAGCAATTCTGGATAGAGCATGAACTTGTTACAATAGCTCCTCGCTCTTCCCACATCTTCCAGTGGTGGAAATTTCTGAGCCGCCGGTAAAATGTTTGGCTAGCAGTAATCAGGTTGTTAAGATATCAGTTAGTGTAAGCTAACTGAAATGTACAAGAAATTTTTTTGGTAAATCTTCTCTTTCTTATCACAAAACTGAAAAAATGATAGATAAGACAGAAAGTGCCCATTCAATTTCATCAAACTCTTTGACTGCCGAAACAGATGAAAAAAGATAACTTGAACAACGCAATACCCAAAGAACGCCGGAAGTAAAAGTCACTTCCGGTTGTGGAAGCATGAAAACGAGGACGATTATTGAAAGGGTATGCGTGAGAAGTTCCGAAAATTCTGAGAGACTGCTCTGTGATAGTCTCGGTTTTCAACGGGATTTTTTGTTCAGATTTCGGTATAAATGAGTGCAGAAACACAAGCTACTCTTCTTCTTAAGAGACAGCTTCAGGGTATGTTATTACAACCGAAAGTAAGACCCTTTTCTCTTCCATTTTGATGCGATGCTAACAGTAAGATGGCGATGATTTCTTTTCTAGAACTGCAAAAGAAACCTCTTGAAGGCTTTTCTGCGGGCCTTGTTGATGATGACAATCTTTTCAAATGGGAACTGATGATAATAGGACCCCCAGAAACATTCTAGTAAGTTTATTTCTCAGAGTTAGCTTTGTAGTTAGCACATAATATGGACTTGATGTACTTCTATCGATACGTGAAAAGTTTATTTTTGCGCATTGGGCCGATCGATGTGCTAAGTTTAATTTCTTTTATTTTTACCATAGCGAGGGAGGCTATTTCAAAGCGCATTTGATCTTCCCTAAAGAATACCCACAAAGACCACCAAAAATGACATTTGTGTCGGAGTTTTGGCATCCCAATGGTAAGTACGCAGGGACATATTGCGTGAACCTTTTCAGTAACACGTTTTAGTTTGCTTTGTGATTGTGTCGTGATGTTGTTGGAAAAAATGCCACTTCTGTCGTTTAGTGCACAAAACATCCGTGAAGATTGAAAGGAAAACGTTTAGGGCAGAGATGATCCAGGGATTAAGGAAACACGTTTGTACATCTGTTATATTCCAACCATGCTTTCATTTATGTCAGGGAATTTCAGCATTTTTATGTGAAATCCAGTGCTGTATTTTCTATAGACCACTAACTACATTATGTTAAAAAGAGAAAAAATCGGATGCTCTTTGTTCAGCATCTACCATTAATTCCACGCTTAAACCATGCTGACCAAGGCGATCTCAGAATTTTTCTGACCAGTAGAAGTTAACACGTTTGAGTCCTCAAAAAGAGAAATTTGTTACAAAAATATTAGGTGCGGTTACACTAGACCTTTTCCTCAGAGAGCCCCTAACGACTTCTTGAGGAAAGTAATCGTGGATGAATACTGATGGAAAAAAGCTAAATTTCTGATTGTCTCAAAGTGCTTTTGAACTTGTTAAATGCCAAAATATTTACAGCAGTACTCAAAATCCTGTTGTGTTGTCAAACTTAAGTGCAGTTTTGCATAGGTTTTGTTGCCAAGTTGAACACTACTAATTGGTACATTTCACTGGTTCATGATTGGTTAAGCTGCTTTGGTTTCTCACCAACTCACAGAACCTAATTTGGAAAACGTCATGGGGAATTCTTTTGTTCTTTTTTACCTACGGTATCCATGGAAATTTCCCAAGGCAAATTCACCTTGGGAAAATCGGTCACCCACAGAAAGTTGCTTCCCCCGTGGGCAACAGTCATCTGCCCATGGGTAAAACTGCCTGTGTAATCCCACCTGTTATAAGCTTACAGCATGTAATGAGCACTGGATGTTCTGCAAGTTTTTGATTGACTGTTACAAAAATCACGGTCTGCCACTTCTGCTTAATGTATCCTGAGTTTATATCATGGAGAATTTGTTTTCTCTGTTTGTTTGGCAAGGCGTAAAGTTTTGAAATGTGTCTATATTGGTTACCTAAAAAGATTAGCAGAGGTTATTAACCTATTCACTCTTGGAAATTTTTTTCGAAAAGCACCTTTAAAGCTGCATTATTAGAGCCACTGTAAAGGTTTATATAGCAAAATTGCCTCTTCGTCTATGTGATAAATCAGGAGAATTCTCTTGTTAGACCCCATTTTATTTTTCATGTGACTGTAGTAAACTGTCACCTGGTTAGCTCAGTTGGGAGTGTGCTGGTCTGCTGAGCAGGAGGTCGCGGGTTCAAACCCTGGGCGGATTAACACTACGGGTCTTTAAATAACTAAGAACAAAGTGCTGTCTGTGTAATGACATTTGCAAATGGTTATAGACTTTCTAGTCTTCTTGGATAAGGACAAGAAAAAATTGTAGGCCCTGCCTCACAGCACTTCTACTTATCTGGTTCTTGAGGGACATAAAAGAACCCACACCACTATTCGAAAAGACTAGGGGATGTACCCCCAGTGGTGTGGCCAACCGTTCCTGGGCTGGGTGGGTTATCTATAAGGAAAGATTATAATATAGGGATAAAATCATGATTCTCCTTCACGTGTCATAATAACTAGCTGTAAACAGTGTATATGTGATTTGCTCACTGGTGTTTTTTTATTTCAGTTCATAAAGATGGTGAAGTTTGTATTTCTATCCTTCATGAGCCTGGTGAAGACAAATATGGTTATGAGAAAGCAGAAGAACGTTGGCTTCCAGTTCACACTGTTGAAACTATCTTGTTGAGTGTTATTTCAATGATTTCTGATCCAAATGATGAATCACCAGCCAACGTCGATGCTGCTGTAAGTAATATTTTTTTCAAAAATACTTGTAAGTAAAACGGTTTCAACAGTTTTGTTTTACCTGGAAAAGTAAAAGCAAGTGACATTACTAAAAGACAATATTACTATTAGCCTGCAAAAACAGCAGTCTCTCCTCACTCCTCGCCGCTAGGGATGTTTCATCAGAAATGACATCTGCGCCTCAGCAACAGAAATTTCATACTGATGACGTAAATCATTGTTTACATAAGAAATCAGATAGTCATGGGGTTCCAAATGTAAATTTGTTCAATTTTATATGTCTCCAGGTGGATTAGTGGTAAAGTTTAACTTAAACAACTTTTTGTCTGACTTAACAGAAAGAGTGGAGAAACGATTATCATGGAGCATTCAAGAAGAATGTTAAGCGGTGTGTGAGAAAAAGTCAAGATAATCTTTAATAATATTGTACAGTACATTAATTTTTTTTCCTAATTCTAAAGACCTCGATATTCAGAATTACAGTAGGTGTAAATTGAATTGAAAAGTGCTTAAAATAATATTAGTGGGAGCTTTAAATTGTGCTTGTTTAACTGGAAATACTGGCAGTCGCTTGATTTAAGCTTACTTTTTGTCTATTGCATTGGTAATCAATTGGCTTTCTAGTTATGGATAATCTTTTTCGTGATTTCAAGCCTTGCCAATTTTCTGTAAGATCATAGGACTAGCAGTGGAGTTGGACAATGATTCCTGTAATTTATTAAGTCAGTTATCAATGATACATGTATGATCAACATAATTCAAATCTTTCTGGAACCCATGTGATTACGTGCTAGATTCCTTCTATTTTCATCATTGTAAATATGTTCCTTGTAACAATATTATTCTTAAAGGTGTGATGTAAACTGTAGTGATGGCTATAGCATTTTATATAGCTGAAATGATGATGCAAGACGAAAGTTATGTCACTCATTTCTAATACTTTTTTGAAAATATTGTTACTCATCAGCTGTAGGGATTTCTAACAACTCAAAAGTGGTGTATCCAAATGGTTTTGATAGCAGATGGTGATAGAGATGGTTGTATAGTAGAATCTATCAGTTACTATCATAGCATGTGATGAAGAACTTCAATTCACAAAGGCCTGTGACACTCCATGCAGCCTTGTCCGAACCATAATAATTTTATTATTACATCTACGCTAATATATTGCTCTCTTAAAATTAATGGACCTATACACATGGCAAAAACTTGCTTTGTTTTGCTCAGTTTCATTAGCTTTTGCCTAAGCTCTTGATCAGACTTAACACTTGTTAAGGTCACTGATCAATTTATTAGTCTGTTTTTCTAACTTTCTGTTTGTCTTTGAAACATGGCAAAGAAAATATTGATATTTTAATCAACTGAAGTGAATGCTTGCATACTTAATTCCGTTGAATTGTGGGAAAAACATTTGACCAAAAACTTATCGTCAGCTACCACCGACACCATCAAACAGGAAAAACAGTCACAAACTGAACTATCATGATGAATTTCAGTAACCGTCTACCAAATCTGTTTGGCTGCAGGTGGAAGTCACAAAGCTAAGGTTTAAGATTAACAACCCATGCATTGCATTCTAACAGTCCAGTGGTTGAATGACAGGTGATTGTTAATTACTGTGAACTAAAGGTTGTGTTTCTGGAGAAAACTTAGTGTGGTTAAGCCCACAGAGGAGGCAATATTTTTTCGTTTTTCAAGGAAGCAGTGGCAAGGCCATGGTAAAGTTGGGCAAGTGAGAGTTATCCACGCAAAAGGTTGGGAAGAAAAAAAAGTGTTGATTATATATCTCCTTCGCTTGGACCTTACTTGTGCTTTGTGCATTCCTTGTGCTTTCCTCTGCTACTTTAAAAAATTCAGGAAATGATAATGCCTGTTCTGTGGAGCAAGTTTACTCAATACAATTTCTGTACAATAACAGTTAGTTAGGCTTGAGTTGTGAAGTAACAAATTTCTATTTCCACATACCTGATAGTCAATATTTTTCTTTCCTTTTTTTTGCTGATAAAATTTCCATTTGTGACAGGCATTTTCCAACAAGACTCTGCACAAAAATGTAAACAAAATTTAACTATATTTCTGTTGAATTTACATTTTTTTTTCATTGTCTGTTTTTTTTTAAGTACTGGTACATGTTGTGCATACTGTATGGGTGTCAAAAATGTATTAAAACTTGAATGAGCTTTGGCATAACCAGTCACATAAATTTGATTTTTGTTTAAGTTAATTACAAACCTGTGTGCAACGGTCACCCTTGGGAAATGGCAAGGTGGCCATTATATGAAGGGTGACCTCTATATTCAGGTCAACTTTGCAGAAAATATAAGGCAACTGAAATTTTGGGAAGTTGTCCAGAGACCATAATATACAGGGTGACCACTATATACAGGCTTGACTGTATTATTATTGTTTCTAAGTTCCGAGATATCGTCAAACTTCCTTGGAGCAACCAGCCAAAATGTCAAGATTTGGTGATTTTAAAAATTGGGGAAAATTCTGGTGTATTTTAGAAACAAGATCACTTATGAAAGGTGGCTGCACATCCAGGGGATTTAGATTGTATCGTGGAGTCGCCTTGTATAAAACATGTATTAAACTATTATTTAACCACTAGTTAAGTCAAAGTAAAATCCTGGGGGAGAGGAGCACCTCCCATGTGAAAGAAACAGGGATGCTTGTCATCTTGTTGAGGCAGGGGTAGGCTAGGGGGGCATAAATTTGCAGATTTAGGTCTCACTTAAGGTGTTAAGGATGGAAAACTTGTATTTTCCTTCATACATATACTGCTTAGGTTAGTGTGAAAAGAAATATAATTATATGAAATAAGTAAAACCAAAAGACATCATACAGTACTAATTTCAAGAGAGCATTCAATTCAACATCTTTCGCACCAATTAAATCTCTGCATGCATAGTCATTAATTTTAGGGATTGGCTGCTGTGAACTGTATTAATGATCTAATTCATGCCCCCTCTCAATTAAATGCCTTTTGTGTAATAAATGCCCCTCTTATGATGTTAAGTTTATATGAGATGCCCCCAATAAAAGTTACTCCAAAGTACTAGGAATTATTAGCAAAAAGAAGCTAAATCCATCATTTTATTCAGTTTCTTGCAACAACACAATGACCCTGAGCGAGGATTCAGACCTCGAAGTCAGGCTTTGCGATATGGATCTCTAAACGGCCTTAAGGTATCAATAATTCAGCTATGTGTAAACTCTCTTGATATTTTCATTGTAAAGCTTGTTCTCTCTTTTACATGTTTCCCATCTATTAATCACCTCCTCTTGGACCCCCAAAATTAAATAGACACCCCTGGCATCTGACTCGTCCCCAGTTGGGCATCTATAAAGTTATTTACAGTAGTCTCTTTTGGTGGTCCAACAGAAGCTGAGCCACACCTAGTTTGGTTTCTTTTGAGGTCTTACATAATTTCCCAACAAGCATCCCTTTATAACCTTTCATACAGGAGTTACTGCCCAACCCCTCGACAGGAGTAAAATACACAGTTGTGGAAATGCAATAGAATGTTACACTTTCTGAGTAGCTTAAGGACACTATTAAATTTTAAGTTAATGTAAAAGCTGTTGAGCTGAAACAGAGCCCTAATGCTTTGGTCTTTAAGTAGTTATAGTACTAAGACATGCATGCGCTTTTTTGCTTACACTACAGTGCAGCTGGGTTAAGTATAAAAGAAAACTTAAACCGGCAGAGCTGTACTGCTTGCTCTGAGAGCCTTTCAATACGTAATGGCTGTTAGCCTGTGTAAAAGTATCTTCTATTTTCTTTGCTTAAATGGGATCATTAGTGTTGCAAAGAAAGAAATACCTGCACCCAGGCTAAATAAAATTCAAGCATAAAAAAATGCTGAGTACACTGCACAAAATAAAATAATTTTTATGGAAATCCCTTGACAAAATCAGTCCCTGTGTTTAATAGCTTCTCACGTGCACTCCCCCTTAACCCTTGCAAAAAACCTTATAACAGTATCCATATTCTCTACTTTGTTCATGTTTTTGTCATACTGATAAAGAACAAATTTTTGTTTGATCACATCTGGTTTTCTCACTGTCGTTAGTTTGATTAAACAGTGTGAGAGAATTCAAAGATACAGTTCAATCTTAGGGTCGAAAGTTTCACTTTCAGAATTAATATTCATCATGAGAAAAAGTTACACTTGTGCAGCCATTCAAATGAAACCTTATTTTTATGCTTCAAGATAAAATTTTATACCCTTTAATTTTATTTTGGAGTCTTTAGAATGAACAGTCTGATATTTGAGAATCATGTTGGAGAGAAGAGCATTACATACAGTGGAAGCTCTTGTAAGCAGACACCCTCAGAAATGGGCATGTAAAAATACAGAGTTTGTATATGGAAGTTGAGAAAAATGGTTTTTTGAAGGCGGCAGTTATTAGAACTGTCTGCTTACAAGAGTGTCTGTTAAGAGAGCTTCCATTGTAAGTTAAACACAAACCCAACTATGATCTCTAACAAATTTGGAGTGCTAGTTCATTGGGTACCAGATGCAATAAATGCCTCTCCCCAGAACTTTTTACTCACATATATTATGGTCTAGGAAGAAGAAACCCTGGACATGGTAGACAATAGTGCAGTTCCCCAATACTCCTTAAACAAAGGGGCATTTTTTCAAGACATGTAGCTGATAGCATCTTCTTTCCTCTGCTTGAAATAGGGATGCTGTGGCCACACTTGGTAAGTTAACCAGGTTAGTTTTTGAAAAACCCTGTAAAAAATATTTCAGAACATAACCTGGTTAAAAGAGTTTAATTGGGTTAATTTTTTCCAGTGGCCTGACTTAATTTAGGCTTTCACAAAATCATCCAATTATGTTGCACAGTTTTGTTTTATACCTTGAATGCTTGCCTTAGAGTGAATGACAAAATTTGACCCCGCATTACTGATAAAAAGAGGTTGACTTCTTAAAAGTCTTAACTCAATTGTGTTGAGAAAGAAAGGCTGAACTTTGAGCGAAAGATGTAATTTTCGAAACTGTTGTGCTTGCGTACATGGTAAGGCCAAAATTTGGACCATTCCCGAACCCATGGGGGAAGATGATAGACTGATTGCATTACCTTGTAAGGTGGTGACAAGCCTAACCTGGTTAAGAAACTCTTTTGTTTTTGCTTGATTTGCATAACCTGTTTAAGTCCCCAAGTGTGGCCGCAGCCACTGTGTTGGAAACCGCAACTTTCAATTGGTTGGGATGGTTTTAGCTAGTGTTCTACAATAATCAACTCCCTCTAAGATGGATGCAGTTGGTACGAATACAATGTCCCTGTTATAGAGCCTTAGGTTGCTTAACAGACTGTTTTCACATGGCGTCATCTCCGCCATATTGGTTTCCCACAACAATGAAATGGTGGCCATTTTGGTGTTATAAACTAATCTTTTGGGAGTTCAACCTTTTCAACCAATGCTGAATTTTTCTTTTGTCCCAATAAATTTCATAGCTGCTGGCCATGTGAGTGGAAAGGCTCTGTAAAAATAGTCAAGAACCCAACTGATTGAAAATGGCACTGGCAAAGCTCTAGGTGTCTTTCTTTTGATAGGGGAGTCTGTTAAGGAAGGGATTTATTATGACACTGTTTTTGGAAAACAATAATGCTAGTCAGTTTAGTTGAACAGCTAAGTCAACTATAAAATTATGTTGACTAACTGATCGAAACAGTAGAAATCAGTAGGCAAATTGAGCATGTTTTTACATGATGAAGAATTCCACCTGGCAGGAGGTAATATGGTTTGTTGCTCACAAGTACAAAATATGGGACACAGGTCACAAGTGCAGGTAACTGCTCTATTGATAAATAACTGAGATAGGCAGTTTCCCCTTAAGCTAAAACTCTATTTCGGATTGTGATTAGGGCGAGAAGGTTGTTTATTTACCATCATAGTATGGTGACATGTACTCTAACGTGCACTTGTGACCTGTACTGACCCGGGTTTTGGACCTGCTGGTTTGCTACATGACTGTACAACTGACATGAGGAGATGAACATAAATGAGACTTTGAAGAAAAAAATTCCCCTAGGTGGCCAGTGCAATAATTGCAGCTAAGAAACCAGTCGCTGACCACAAAAGAACTACATGTTTAATAAAATTTTTATGAATGGTTTATTATACCGCAAAAGATGTAGGCATGTTATGTGCTAGCTATGTTAACAATATATCGTATTTGTCCGTTACTTTGCAAATTTAAGGGAATTGAAAATTTCTGCAAATGTGTTGAATTTATGATTGTCTCCCAGTTAGATAATCAGGATGGAAATGCTATCAATGCATGACTCATTTTTGATGGTATAAGCTAGAGCAGCAATCATTTAAATGTGAAAATCAAGTAAACTAATACAGTGACTACATATATGTATACGGATCAGTCACTCAATAATGTGTTGTTATAAGTTAAATTGATAAATCAATCACTGTCACTACTAATGGACTTAATCCTCTTTCGTTTTTGTTTTTTTGTGTTCACAAATGGGGAAAGTGTAATCTGAACATCACTTCTGAGTGCTGTAGTGAATGCAGCCTTTGTCTTTTTCCTTCCCGGAGTATTTAATGTCCTATTAGTGCATTTTGGTGAGTGTCTTTTCTTGTTCTGTGTTTGTAACTGGCAAAGATGATGTTCTTCTGTGCCATCTAATTGATCAAAAGTAGATATAGGAGACCTGTGTCTTCTTTTGGTAAATATGGATCTTGTTGTCTTGGAGCAAGGGGTTGGTTGAACAATCATAGCATCAGATAAGTTGCTTTCATCATCAGAGGAGTTGTTGGGTGTTACTTCGTTCATTGCAGTGAAGGAAGATGTTGAAGGTGTACATGAAATATGTTGTTTCTTCTTCATTCCTAGATTATTAACCTTGTTGAATTGGTTATTTCGCTTGTGACATGGTAGTTCCTTAATTTTAGTCTTATCTCCCAGAACTTCCATATCTGAATCGCTTGAGCTCTCTCTGCTTTCAACAGGATTCCTTGGTTTTGTTCTTGTATTCTTTGATCTATTTACGTTTGCAGAAGCCTTTTTCCTTCAAGATAAAAGAAAACTCAATAAGTAAGCAGGCTAGCAATGAGAGAGAATGAAAACAAATACTAAACCTAACAATATCACAACTCAGACACAAGAACAACAATGGATCAACCAAGCGTGTACTCCAATACCAAACAGCCACTAACTTCTAGATTATGTGGACAGTATTTTTCATAATACTTTAAAAGTCACCTCTGCAAGGCTTTAGTCTTTCAAATCCTGACTGGTATCAAGTGAACATAAATATCAATTAACCCAGTTTCAATGATCGTCAATGAGGATATGAATCATACCACCAGTCCATGAATTATAACTAATAGAAAATCAGTTATGTTACCCTTCAACAGTGCCCTTTCACAAATGTGGCAGTCATTAGCTTTTGAAGCAGACTCAGCAGGCAAATGTTCACTCATAACATTTTAATGCCTGTGTGTTATCTGGTCTGGGCTTTAAAATAGAACCACCACCAATATACCTTTATATCAAGTGAGCACACCTATGACAAACATTGTGGGATATACATGGGCTCTTTTAAAATGACTTTGTATTACAGTCAAACCGCTATATTTGGCCACCATCCACGAAGAGACAAGAGGCTGCTGAGGGTATGTTTGATCAACATTGTAGTATCAAGAAATGTACTTGAAATTAACTTTTAACATGATTTTAGCATTCCAGTGGTCCAAAAATCACCATGGAGAAGATTTATAGAAAAATGTATGTGTATTCTTATTCCAGAATACTACTAATAAACGCACCCTTAATAAAGGTTGGCCAAGTAGAGGTTGACAGTTATTTACTGAAAATTTTGTCAGCCGAGCCTCTGGTAACTGGCTTGTAAATGGAGCATGGCCACTTAACAGAAGATCAGCTTCTCTTATAGAAATGAAGGGGATTAAAGATTGGTAAGATGACAAATGATCATCTAAAGCATGCAAAGTTGGTTTGAGAACTTGTACTTAAATGTACTAAGTTCCACCCAAAGTTCCCTAATCTGAAGTCCAGGGGAGCAGGGTAACTTATCTTTTAATACATAACAAGTTACACCTTGTTCTTTGATCAGATGATAAAGTTGAAGTATGAGCTCTTGCTTGTTTCCTAGCAGTGTTGATCCAGCCATTTGCTGATGAAAGAGTTTCAACTTGTCTATCTCTTGAAGATGTCAACTCTTGCAATTCTTCATCACTGATATAGGTTTGCTGTACAGTGGAGAGAAATCAAAATTTACATCAACTCTGTTACTAACGTACATCTAGAAAAGGTCTATTTGTCACCACAGCTGAGGTGTTGGCCAACTGTCGTTGAAATGTCAGTGATATGTTGGTGATCCGTTGGTGAAGTAACGACTGACTATCTACTGAGTATCGGCTGACTATTGACTGACTGTTATCAGGGACTGACTATTGGCCACGTATCGACCGATACTCGACCGATACTTGATTGGTACTTGATCGACAGACAACCCGTACTTGATCAATACTTGATTAACAGTCAACCAATACTTGGCCGATACATCGACCGATATGTCAACCAAGAGTCAACCAACATATCAGTCCACCCCTCATAAGACACAAGATCCATTTTTTTCAGGTAGCCCATTTGTCATACTTACATAAATTTTGTGTGGAGTGGAAATCCTGTAATTGTGTACTCTAGAATAAACCCTGTGTTAATGCGGAGGCAGGAGAGGGGCAGAGGTGACTCCTAAACAGTGTCCACAATAATATTCCCAAAAAAAAAGTTTGTGAAAAAGACTGAGTGCTAAAGGATAACACTCCAGAGTTTAGACTTAAAGTGCTGAAACTAAATTAGAACCACCCAACATTAATGTTGGCCAATCAAAGGTCAAGTTCCTACTAGCAAAGGAGTCTGACTTGATCAATTTGTTATTAGCCAATCATGGAAATATTTTTATATGTTTCAGTTTCAAAGTGTCAGTGGTCCCAGTTGAGTACACTCTAAGAATAACTTCAAATTAAAGAACCACATTATAATTTACATGTATAATAATAATTAGTGCACGTAATATTATGTTCAAGGGTTTCTTTAATTGTTTCTTACCTGTCTTTTCCTTTTGCTATTGTTTTGAATCTGATCAGAAACTTGTTTGCTTCTCTGCGACTGTTTGAAAAGTCTGGTGCTTGATGGTCCAGCTGGCCATTTTGAGTTGGATCTTAGCTTCCTTGAGTTTGCCTGATTTCTGTTTTTGCCTCTGTCTTTTGAATTCTTACTATGATTACCAAACGGTAGCCAGTCACTACTAAGATCATCTAAAGAACGAAAAAAATGAAAAAAAGTTATAAAAAGCACCTTGTAAAAATATACTTACAAATGCATTTACATTTTCCAACAGATACCTACCACTCGACTTTCTGTTTCTGCATCTATTCCTTGAATTCTTACTGTAGTTGCTTGATGGTGTCCAATCATTGCTAAGATCATCTAAAGAACAAGAAAAAGGAACATTACATTTAACAACCTTAAAAATATATATTGTACAGAATTTGCATTGAACAGAGAAAAAAGGATCCTCAACTTAATGCTGGTATCAGTTATAAATATATAATATGGAATTTTTAAAATAACTCTATGAAGTAGTGCTCAGTGAAAATTGATAAAGCAAGATAGTTACAAATGAAATACAAAATGTTATCAACAAAGTTACAAACTCTTGAAAAAAATTGTCCTTATTTAAACCAGTGATGTAGGTTGGCCTCTTCATAGTTTAGTTCATGGCTGCTGAGTGAGAAACTTATCATTGTTTGTGGAATTTGTGGCTGCATTAAGACCTGTTAATATGAGGTGACCCAACCCAGTTCGCCAGGCTGTCCCTCTTCACCAGCTAGCTCAGCTCCTGCCTTGTTTCCTCTTAAAAAATAAAATGTCTGTTGCATTTACATGAGGAGGCAGACTATACTAGCAAGCTTGCAGAGATCTAACAACAATTTTAAGAGAAACAAGGCAAAAGCCGAGCCATCATCATCATCATCATCATCAACATCAGCGCCGGAGTCTTTTCAAGTCATACACCAGGTTTCTAGGCATCATTATTGTTTTACAGCAGACCTTGTTCAATTGCCATACAGGTATTAGCTTCAAAACACTTTTCTTGCCAAGAGCCTTCTCTTTATCTCCTTCCTTGGTTTCTACAGCTGTAACTCAGTAATATTACAGGCATGACCACTAATCAAAAATAAAATCCAAACTAACCATCTGACTCATTATCACTGACAATGAAGCTGTCACTGCTTGCTGGTGAACCACATGATTGCTCTTCGGTTAGCTGAAGTAGCCTGAAACAACAACAACAAAAAAACATGGTAAGAAGTTGACTAATGGTTATAGTACTTCCTGAACCTGACACCCAGAAAATGTGTGTGTTAATACTACAACATGTCAGTATGTTTTTGTCAGGTTATTGGTTCTGATCAAATAATTTTTTCATTACTGGTGTGAATTTTTTTTTGGTTATACTAAAGGTAGGCTCCACAAATAAATGTAACTATGTGCTGCTTGAAATTTATTTCAAAAGAAGTACATTATAATTATTGTTAATAATAATATACATAACTGTCAAAAAGGTTTTTGTCCAGGTCACTGTTGAAACAATTGGCTTGTGTTATAATTTTAATATTGTCTCAGCTGACTGTACCAAATAACATCCAATGATAAACTTATTAGTCATTTTTGTACATGCATTTTACAGAGAAGAGAACTTGAGTGACTACAGTCGATCCTTGAGCTGGTTTAACAAAATAATTTAATTTAAAAATACATGTACATGTACCTGTCAATGGAGTTTGTTTTAGTTCTTGAAGAGTTTCGTAATGGATAATGCTTGTTTTTCTGTGCCACAATTTTGTTACTGATTCTTGCAGTGTCGGTTTCCTCCTCCTCTTCACCATCATCATTGTTGTCATCATCATCATAATCATCATCAGCAACAACACTGTTCCTTGTTATCTCTCTACTGTAAGTGGAATAAACAAATAGAATATTCATCTTTGGGCAGGCAAATATATAATACATTACCATATATTTCTATTAAAGTCCCCTCCCACCTGATTCCAGTTGTTCAAAAGGTGGATAGCGCTATCCACCGGATACATCACTATCCACTGGATAGTGCAATTGGTTTCCCTAATACTTATCCACTGGATAGTGATTTATCCGGTGGATAGCACTATCCAGCTTTTGAACAACTCAGACCTGATGTTTAAATAATGAACAACTATATTTACTATGCTCTCTTTGTGAATGAAGCCTCCCAGGAAGCATGAAATGCATGGTGTTGTGCCCCTCCCCCCAACTCCCTCACCTCACCTGCCAAGACAGCTGCAAAATTGGGAATCACTACGTAGACTACAACAATTTAAATTCACACCACTACACTGCCATGCTACCCCTAAATTTGCACAGATGACTTCACAAATAAGAAAGCAATAAATTGCAACTAACAGATGCATGGTCTACAGTGTAGTAGTGTCTTTCTCTTCTTATTTTTTCTCCAATAACACCAATAATGTCCTACCTTAATATTATTAAAATCTGATGTTCTGAATTCAATTTTTCCATTGCAAGCATGTATGACAAGAAAAAATGCCTGGTTCTCCAAGGATTTGACAGGACAAAGCATATTTTTGACCAGACATTTTCCATTGACCATCCTGAGTATGATTTTCAAGGGAACCAAGAGAGGGAATAATCATGTTGTCTTTTCAGCTCTATATGAATAAGAATGTCCGGTGTCAAATGCAACTAAAAAATCCTTGGAATGATATCTTACCTTTACTTGGACAAGGTGATGGGTTTGAAAATGGATATGGATTTTATAGCCCCAGCTGTTCAAAGGTGGATAGAATTCTCCATCTGATAAATCACTGATCCAGTGGATAACACCATGTTGGTTTTCCTAATACTTGTCCACCGGATAGCGACTTATGCAGAGGATAGAGCTATCCAACTTTTGCCAGGGGCCCATTTCTCGAAAGTCCCGATAATTAACGGGCCTGGTAAGCTGTCTCCGTTTACATTAAAAATCGAGGTTTCAATAGTTTTGCATCTAGCATGATAAAACTATTACTTAGTGAAACAAAATGGAGTAGTTTGCTAGCCAGGACCCACGCTCTTATTCTTTATATTTCGATTTGAATATTTGATTTTGGGCCCGTAAAGTTACTGGGACTTTCGAGAAACAGGCCCCAGGTCTGAAAATGAGTGTGCAAAATGGCATGTTCTGGTGTGAAATAGAGTCATGATTTGGAGAGCCAGATGTAGGGCATACTGCCTACCTAGTATTTCAAGCATACAGTACCTACACACCCTTTAATTTATATATTAATTTCTCTTCAAGTGTTGAAATATGTCAACATGAGAAAATAAATTTTGTATCTTCAGTTGGCCATGTAACGTTGTTTTTATTATACAAACACCAGTGAAATACTCACGGGAGCTACTTCCATATATGGGCTATATAGGTATGAATACTCTGAATGGTATGATTTTCAAGCAGTTTACTCTGGGATAGGCTACACAAATCAGAGAGTTTATGTCTAGAATAGGGTATCACTTTACAGGAAACTGATCAATTGGTTGAAGATTTCAGTCTAGACTAAGGAAACCGGGAATTGCCACACAAAAATATGAAAAAAATCAAACTGGTTTTGTTTTGGGTGGACCTTATGTGTTTCTGGAAAACAGGTACTCTAGGATGGGGGGGGGGGATTTGGGGAAGTTAAGTCTAGTATAGGGTAGCGAAATTCACTTGAACTAGCTCTGGTATAGGCTAAGAGTTCTAGGGTGCCAGCGGCACATCCCCACCCAAAATTTCTCAAAGTACCCCCCTTCCCTCCAGGAAATACCAGACCATTTCAATTTAATATTTTTTGCTGCACAAGGTGCGATTTATTTCAAGTGTGACAATAATATTTTTGTGTGTAACTCACCTGGTATTTCATTAGTGTTTATATAATTATAATAATTTATAAGTCATGGAGAAGAAAACTCATATGGTCTGACTCTCTATGACCCTTGACTCGGTTTTACAAATATACCTGTCAAGGGAGTTTGTTGTGGTTCTTGAAGAGTCTGGGAGAGATCTGTGGCTATCACGTAATGTATAGGGCTCATCTCTCTGGACCACAATTTCTTCACTACTACTGTCCATGTCATATTCCTCCTCCTCTTCACTATGGTCATTATCATCATCATCATCGCCATGATCAGAAATAACAATGTCTACAATATTACCATTGTTTCTTCTAATCTCTCTGCTGTAAGTAGAATAAAGAAATTCTTGGAGAACATCATCGGTGTCATCAATGAAGGAGTCTTCCAAGTCATATTGATCAAGATGCAGCTGCCTGGATGTCCGGGGAAGTCTTCTTCTTTGACTCTATCAAAATGCCAAATTGATCATTAATTATTCACCAAAATTAACTTTTCAAACTTTTTTTTGTGGCTGACAAGTTGTTATTGATAAACTGTCCAAATGCTCATTAATGATGCAAATTTTAAAATGATCATTGATTTAGTTTATACAAAAGAGTATGAAAAAACAGCACTAAACTTGTCTGAAAGAAAACATTATTTATGAGTACAAAAATCACTGACTATACATACTGGTTCTCTTTGACGCCCTCTGGTTTGCAAACTCCTACTCCATGGATTACTTATATAAATAGGTGGTTCATAGTCATCATCTAAATCATCTTCAACCAAGTCAAGAGCATCAAAAACATCTTCAGCAACTAAATCATCATCATCATTCCACACTCTCTGATCCTTGTCACCCACACGGACTTTGGTTGGTGGAGATTTGAAAGGACTCAAATGAACCTAAAAGGAACATTAATACACTTAATGGGTTATTTGGTCATTCAATATATCTTCGAGGTATGCAAACTTTTAAAACTGCAAACACTGGACACTTAAGTGTCATTTTCAACGTTAATTGTGGTGAAATATTGGTTACACATAATCTTATATTTAAACAAAATATGCACTGTACCTGAAACCGGAAAATGTGAAATTTAATGTAATATTCATGGTTCAGAAAAAATGAGACATCTGCCTGTTTTACACTCATTCAAAATACATGTTGGATTACCATGCATTCAAGCACAACCGCCAAGTATTCCAAATAAAAATACGAAATAATTTCACAACTTATAAAATTAATGATGGTAGTTTCGGTATTTGGAACATCCAGGCATACCGTGCTTAGAGACGAGAAAATTCTAAAGGGATTAAGGTTAGTATTTTAAACTGACACATTGGAAAGTCCTACTTATGAACTCCGAAAGTAGTGCAATGTATGCAAAAATCATTCTCCTTTTCACACCTGCATAGTCTCACATCTGTTGTTTTTATGAACATAAGTTTATCTGACAGATACTATGCTTAATTGGTATAAAACTGGAAATGGATGTACATTTCGCATCGAAAAGTGGAAATTAAAATGTAAGGCGCTTAAAACTTCGAAACGTAAGGCTAGGAATTAAGACCAATTAAAGGGTTTACTATTAGCGGTAAGATCTTAAAGTTAGCGTTATTATCTCTCACATTAAGTTTTTTCAGATTTCTCCGGGTGAACAAGTCATTGATTTTAAGTTTTAAGATTTTAAGTATAATTTTTGTGTACCTTCGTTATGCAACGAAATCGAGCCTTGCAGATGGGGCAAGTATTTGTATTCTGTGAAAGAAAATATGCTTCGAGTTAATGATAGCGTAAATAATTGATTTACATTTATCCATGAATCCAAAATGAGACATATACTAATAGTCTGAATAACAAATCTGAACAAATTCAACAACAATGTCTAATTTTGACCTCTGCCCATTCCAAAATGCAAGGGAAACAAAACCAGTGATTGCAGACACTCAGTTTCCCACGACAAGAAACTGTTTCCAAACAGATTATGCAGTTAGAAGGCTCATCAAAGTGATCAGCGACTTTGGTATTTTCCGTAGATTTTCGACTTTTCCTCGAACGAGACATCGCGTTTCTATTTACGATTTTCTCGTTTTCAATATGGCGCTCTTTTTTGCGGAGCAAAATGGCTGGCTATCTTCCCACTGAATCACGACTTTTCATTGGTTGATATTTTCTGCCATCGCTCCAGCCAATCATTTTTGTCATAGTTGAAGAACGCGAGAGCCTGGAACGAGACGCATTTGATATTACCCGCTGACTCAGTAAATCGCTGTTATTATAAGGAAACATTTCATTGAAAACATGGCTGATGTTGGCGGTATGATAGCCGCGACAGGCATAGAAAGTCCGAACAAACGGGCTAAAATGGACATGGAATTACCAGCAACCAACTTCGATGAATCAAAATTCGCCAGATATTACAGAACGGACGCAGTCGCCTCTCTCACAAGCTCGCATTCCTCGCCAGTTGCCAGTGACTCATCAGCATTTTATTCATACCCGTACACCTTCACATCGAATTCTTTCTCTTCGTACACTTATCCTTGTGGTCAGACGGACGCAACAGCGTTATACACATACCCAGCATCGTACGGCGTTCAGTACAGCACGTTAAATGGTTTCACTTCGGAATATTCCGCAACGACAGGTATGCAGCAATGCGCTTAGCTTCTTCACAAATTTTAATACTGATATCGCTTAATGCGTTACTGGAGAGATCATAAATATTTCAGCTGGCGTTCTAAGTTTCATTGTGGAAGTTGGGGTAATCAGTTTAGGAACGAATTTTTTTTACAAAGAAAGATAGAACTTCTGGTGAAAGAACCGCGTGAGAGATTTAGCGATGAAATTCGGGATTGACTTTGGGCGTGCACGAAACTGGGTTAATGTTCTTAGGTGCTCTATTACTGTGCGCGTCTGCGCTTCCCGTGTCTGTTGTCTCAATATTGTTGTTAAACTTGGAAATTCATCTATTTTTAAATGAATGTCACGTTTAGTCAATAATCCATGAATGTTGTGCCGCTTGGGTTTAAAAAAGAATCAACCCGCTTTACAACGCCGGGCGCATTAAAACGCAGTGCGTGCTCGAGGAAATGACATTTGAATGCTGCATTATAGCCCCTGTCATTCTCCTGCGAGCTCATTGACCACGCAATTTCTGGAAACCGTCTTCCTGAAATAATGAAAGAAACATATCTTTCATTTGATACTTGAGCCCGGTCGCAGCTGTATTCATCGCGGAATGCATCTGCGTTAATAGTTTGACATAAAGGATTATTTTCCTCTCTCAGAAAAAAAATTCTCTGTCGCTCTTATCGTAAACTTACGTGGTACATTTCTTCTGCCTTGGTGATATGAATGGAAATAGTTAATGAGAAAAGCTTAGAGCAATATCGTTGTTGACTTTTTCGTGGGAGTCAAGCAGACTTTTTTTGATGTGCTATCAGCAATCTTTATCTCTCTAGTTATTTTTTCGAGGCAGGTCCTTCCTTGTAAGGTCTTGTAACGGATTATCTGTATAGTTTCCTAGTCTTTCCACGACACCCTGATAAATGGATTTTCCATAAATGTCAGTTACTTGCATTCTCTACGGTTTTTTTGATTGAAATATAAAAGAAAAGACACTTACTCGATCATTGGCCACAATTATTATTGAAGCAGATAATTGTTAACTCTTGTACTCCATACTCCAGTGAACACTCTGGAGCGTAACATCCTTTGTTATTTTGATCCAGGGAGGAATTGAAAATCACTGATCCATATCACAATAATAAGGCTGTGCCTTGGGATTTAATTCTTGGATTGTTGTTCTTTGATCTGGTAAAACCAAGGAACCGGCCTGCAGTGATTTTGTCCGTGTGATGTTGTTTGCCCATACCCTTGTTTCACCTAATGCTAAATCAATATAGTTTCCCAAGGGTACGGTGTAATCAACAGTATTGTCATTACTGAGCCTTTCTAAGTGGAACGTTTTTATTCCACCTCATTAAAATTATTGTGCCACGTTCAGCTGTAAAAAAGCTCAGGTATTAGGCCGAGTTTTTTGAGGAGTGAACATTGGTCAGTCGAAGAAAATTTCCACAAGTTGTTTTCATAGGTTGAATTTGTTAATTAGGAACTCTTGAGACTGAATACAAGAGTATTCAGATCTCCACTGTTAGGGTAAATATAAAATGTATAATTATGTTGTTTTGTTTTTGTTCAACACTTCTTTTTAAGCTTTTTAGTCTGTTCTATTTTAGAACTGCAAACAGAGAAAAAATTCCAAGACCGCCTGATATCACAGAAGAGGGAATTTACACTCAACACATTCTCTATGATTATTTCTAATTCTCACAAAATGGCAAGTCCATAAAAAAATCAATATTAAAATCCATGTTGCATTGAAAAAGGCCTTTGTTGCAGGGAAGACTTTCTTTAAGATGATAATATTAGGCTTGGGGCAACTTCAATTATTCAATTCCAAGAATCACATGCTGTGAGACTGGGTCAACGTACATGTGTATTACTGAATACTCAAATGGTTAACAACCAATCAGACAAAAGTATATTACAGACTTGCAAATTTGCATCAGATTCAGACTCTGCTTTCATTTATACCAAGCTTTTGTAATTTTGTGTTTACTTCATACCAAGCAAAATTAATATTTTGTGATTTAAAAATGTCTTCTTAGATTCAGATCAATGACAATTTCTTTTAACCTCTCAAGATTGTTATCTGAGAGAGTGTTTCATTGCAGAAAAGTAAAGCTAAGATGCCCATCTTTTTTTGTGTATTATCATCATAATTTCTAGTGAAGTATTTGTTGCTGTTACAAGTCTTTCAATAAAGCTGAACTTGTAATAAGTGAAAAAGAATGGTTAAGGTCATTATAAGTTGGAAGTCTTGTTATAAAAATCAGCTGTTTCTGATTTTGCTCAATTATTTTTATCATAGTATGCTTTTCAGTTATTACCACAAATATGTCATTTCATTTGCTATGGTGAAGAACAATTTTTTTTGTTACAAATCCAGCTAAAAAAAGAGCTTAAATTTTAGTTTTATCTAAAGATGTCATGTACATTGAGAAATTTTGTTGTCTTAAATTATCCCTTTAAATGTGCACTTTGGTGACCAATATTGTTTTTATTGAAATTTCATCCAAATGTTTGCAGATATTAATGGTAAAATGCTTCCAGTATCTCTGCCATGATTTTTTCCAAGGCATCCCTGTAGCTAGACAAAACGCTGACTGTAAAAATTGATTGCTTTCATAGGCAGATGTTATTTCCCTGAAATGCCCAACCTTGCTTTGATTTATGGTTCTCTGATTGTTCTTATATTTTTTTGCAGCGCAGTTTTTAATAGGTGCAAATGAAAATGTGGGGAGGGAATGCCTTAAGCCAAAAACTTATTTTGCCTGAGAGAGTGAATTTTCTCTTTCTTGCTTTGTGTTACTTAAAATTTAATGGTGTGAAAAGCAACCTGCAGTGATGCTAGATGCCATATCCACATGGTTGGGGCCTTGATACTGAATTACAATGCAGGTTCACAGCTGCATATTATGGTGAATAAATGTGAAAGGGGTGGCTTAGTTTATTACAAAATCCTGATTTTCAAAAATCTGTTCATGCTTTTCTAACTTAGCCAAGTTCCTGCACAAGTAGGTCCTTCCATTGTACTATTTATACACTTGGCTGAATCCCTTGGACCTTTTAACATAATATTTTATACTACATGTAGCTAGCAGGCTAGAGTTTCAGGACATTATGTAATTTATCAGTGTTTTGCACTGCTCATAGTGTATTTCTGTGGGCGTTTAATTTGCGATGGTTTCAGGGGAAATAATAGATGTGGCTGACAGAATCTCAGAATTGTTTTATTACATGTTGACCACTTGCGCCCACTGACTAATAAACTTGCCATTTATTTCAGGTTATTCGCTCTCTCCAAGCTCTTCAATCTCCACATTAACATCAAGCTCGAGCATTAGTATTCCACAATCATTAACTGGTAACTCAACTGCACATCACAATACACCTCCTTCACGTGTCATCCACTGTCGAGCAGTCGCAGATGGCTGCAAGGAAACAGACTTAATAGGTGTTCTTCAACCTTTCGGGAAAATAACGTGAGTATGAGACTTTATTTCATAAAAATCAGGTACAAAAATTGATGTGTGGTACATTCCACTTTTCTCTCTTTACAAGGAACTTACTAGAGAGAAGAGTGGTAACTTACTTCTCTTAGAAATTAATAATGGTAGAATTTACAGTTAAGACTAAAATACATGAAGTAAAGCTTATGCTAACAAATCATCTTTGTGTGAGTTAAAAAAAAGACTTCTAGACAGAGTTGCTATCCATGGCAACCATAATTCCTTATTGCCACCAGCCAAAACCAAGAGAACTTCCATGATAAATCAAAGTTATTAATTAAAAATGGCATGTCTGTTGTATTCTAATTGTGTGTAATTTTGACTAATGAGAACCCAACACAGTGCAGCTTGTATGTAGTATCTTTTTGATGTTGCTGTTTCAATCTGTTGCCTGTATGTAATAAGGATAACATGACCTTGACCTACTGTAGTTAATGTTAGTTTTGACCTTAAAACCTGAAGGACAAAATTCATGTGAGCAACATTCAGATGTAGGCCTGGTTGATGCAATACAAAAATCTTCTGCCAGCAAAACAGAAGTGTTTATTATAATAGTTCTTTGTTTCCCAAGAGTGACCAGAATCTTATTTCTCCTGGCAAAATTACTACTCAAACAAACCTGAAGGTAATGAGAATGTAGGAAATGATCACAATGATTCAAGAAATGTCTCTGCATTTGAATCAATTTTCCTTCTTTAACAACTCGGAAAGCTTATGCTTAGTGACGTGCATATGATGAGGGAGCATATATTAAGGTTTAATTATCAGTAGGTAGTTTGTGCAACCCCACATTGATGGTAACAAGAACGTGAAAATGAGAGAAACAGTGACTCTGCACATGCATCAAACTTTTTGATACATTTCTTTGCTGACACTGCACAATGTCGACCTGAAATTGCTTAATTTTGGGTTTTGGGAGGAGATAAGTGAACAACAACAAATTTTTTTTCCATTTATTTGTCTTCAAATGTGGTCTCTAATACCTGAACTTATTAAGGAAAATTTGCCTACACCTGACAAGTTAAAAGGGTTGGAATAATCATGAACAAGTTTGAAAGAACGCAAATATATCTTTATTAGTGACGTTTTCACTGCCATCATTGTCGTGGTTGCATAACTTCCCTATTATCCAAGAGTGGAAAATTCCTCAAGGGAATTACATGTATATATAGAGTACTGCTTAAAATTTTGCCCACATTTGGGAACCTTTCCCACAAAAACAAAGTATAATTTTTCCGATTTGTTTTTTTTCCAGTGTTGTTTTTCTTTGGTTTGTGTACACTCTTTTGTGAGATAATGATAATAAAAAAGGAAAAATTAACCCACAAAATACCGGTAGTTTTATTCATGTACATGTAAACATATTTGCACAAATAGTATGATGACTGCTTTTTCTCTCATAGTTTTAAATGGTTATTTTTCTATGTACAATGTTCATTTTATTCTGACAGAGCAAGTTGCAAAATTTTTACAGTGTATGTGTGATTAAGTCTTCCCCAAAAGTAATGAGCAAATCTTTCTGGGAAAAATTTCAGCTGATTCTCTTGCTCCTCAACAATCGACATATGAAAAATGACTTTTGTTATTGAGACAGTTTACTGGAAAATGCTGCAGATATTATTTAGCTTGCGTGCTAACAACAAAGGAAATAGGAGACATCTACACGCGGCAAATATTAATAACGTTATAATTATTTTATGTTTTAAAAATAGCTACAGTGTAACTTTTTACACATTTACAGTAATTAGTCTCAGCAAAAGATTTTTACCAAAATTGTAATAATTTGAACAAGGAAATCTATCTGAAAATCGCAATAATAATGCAGTTATTATTTTGTAACAATCTTCTTATCAGAAATGTTTACAGTGATGGTTGTACATGTAGGTTGCTGGACAAATATTGCACTGAGGAACAGTCAGGCACAATAATACTAATATTCTTTCCTTTGAGTATCCTTTGCAAAAACAAGGAGGCTGATTTACATGTACTACAGTAAGACTGCAGTTTCTAGTTATCAGCGTGACTTGAGTGGATTATTTGAAGTTCTTTTAAATTTGAAATGTTTTCCAGTCTGCGCGTTTTTTCCCTTGATGTTGTTCATGGATTCTGTACCAGTTCTGGCTGAATAATAGTTTAGAATGCAGCTTTGTTCAACACTGGCTAAAATTTGTTTTAATACCCAGCCCTGATTATTTTTGGCTTGCAGATCATAATGCATGGAATCAGTTGCGGGTGATAGTTCTTTTTTTAATTTTCTTTTTCTGGTTATGTACCACTTGCATTGCCTTTATCTCTTTATTATAGTACACAGTAAAGAAAGGAAACTGAATTTTACTGTTTATTTGCTTTATCATTAACACATTATCACCATCACGTAATAATTAGTTGTATTGCTTTTAATACGTACTAGAATCACTCGGGCATCATGTGTATGTCACATGGGGGACTGGAAGAAACTAAAATAAAAATATGTGCTGATTTCTGTGCTATTTAAAAATGTTTTTCATCAATATTCAAGATGTGTAAGATCACTGAAAAATCCTTTTTGGCAAAAAATGATTATCAGCAGATGCAAGAAAATAATTTGATAATATAGATGTATTTTACTGTTCTGTTGTTCTTGCTGACAGAAAGACTGCTTTGTGACAGTTTATAGATAAAACTTTCGTGATATCTAATTTTTTTGTATTTTTGACCATTTTAAAGCTATTTTTGGTCTGACTTTCTCAGAGACACGTACACAATGCATCCACCATGTACACATACATGGAAGGGTGGTTGAGTTTCCTGTATTCCCGTTCCAAAGTCTACATGTAGCACTTCTGTGGATGAAAAAGAAACCAAAAATTTAATGCATTTTTGATACTGTTGTGAAGCACGTGCAACTATGTACTTACCAAAAAATGTTGGTAATTTGGTCTCAGCTTTTGAATAAATTGCATTAGTTGCTAAATAGCGGCTTCTTAAATACTGCTTCTGTCATAATTCATTGTTATTCAATTTGTATCCATTTCTAATCCACTGTAAGGAATCACTCAGTGACTATAAAATTTCGTACAGTTTGTGGCATAATGGTGATGAAATAAATTTTCTTATTGTTGGTAAGACATGTCGTGACTCTGAGTCTTGTCGAAAATTTTAGGAATGTTTTCTTTTTCATCCCTGAAATGGTTTTCTTGGTACATGGTTCGCTTGGATCAGGGAAAAATTAAAACACCGAATGACTGAATGAATGACTAAATCTTGTTCATCAGAAAGTCCTTTTTTTTAAAGAAAAAAAAATGGTTTAGCTAATTTCAAAACATTATTGTAGAGCCTCTTATCTATTTGTGCCGACTTATTAATTCTAAAGCATCTTGGCCAAGTTTTGGATGCCTTCAGAATTGACCTGATGACCTTACTGTTTACAAGCAAGTCATTCACTGATATTTTACATGCTGGCTATTGAACTTAAAATCTAGGAGCTTTGTTGCCAGAGCTTCAAGCTGACTACTACAGATAACCACTTCTAAATTTGTTTGCCTGATAATCATTTTAAAACTACTGTAAAGGCACTTAGTTTATGTGTGTTTTGTAACAGAGACATGTGAAGATGGTTCGTTGATAAGATGACAACATGTGCTAATTTTAAAAGGTCATGGCACTTATTTTGTAGAAAAACAAAAAATGTGTTCATTCCCTTAATTGGACATGTGCTCAAGAATAAGCAATTTGTACTATGGTCACCATTTCATTGCAACTACTGTATAAGACGTTGAGAATTCCTCAATTTTTTGTTTTCGTTCACAATGTAGGAATATTGTTCTTTAAATCTTCATAGATTACTGATTGGGAAAGGGAATTGAATTTTGGCAGCTGAATAAATAATAGGAAGAATAGAATAATAAAAATGGCCAATTTGAAAGCTTCAGTTTTCCTTCATGTGCTGCCACACAGCAATAAGATGTGTGGTGAGAGGATGTAGTATCAAACTTGTTTGTTGTATTGGAGGATGAAATCTTAGCTTGATAGCAAAATTTACTCAGCTACATCTTTTTTAAAGTAGTTTAAATTATTGTCAGTGATAGTTTTGTTATTCTTGATTAATCCCCAGTCTATAATTTTTTTTCCTTTTTTGGCAATTTTGTGTCTCTCCCTTAGCACAAGGAAATAAACTATGGCACTTCCAAACTCCTTTGATCAAGAAATAAAAGCAAAAAAAATTACAGGGATATAGCTAAGAGGCTGGCAGCTGACAGCAAATTTCACTGCTGAAAGAACCGGAATAAAAAACATGGGGTAATTTTAAAGGCGGGCTTGACTTGTAAGCTTCCTTGTATCAGGGCTCAGATAGAACTGTTGAGCACCTTTGTTCATGACTACAAAATGAGCACGGGTGGGAGTTCTTTCCCTGGAAAGGTCGTCATAGATCAATGTGCCAGTATTAGTAACAGAGCCACCTTAACAAAGTTTACTCTAGCTCTGTAGGTTCATTCTCTTATTCTTTTACAGATACGTGACATTATTGCCAAAAATAAGACAAGCATTGGTGGAATTTGAAGTAAGTTGGCCTATCCTTCAACCATGGTTAGAGTTTCTAGTTAATTAAAATGCATCTCTAAAACACAAGATGCATGAGGTCTTCACATATTACATGTACATGTTTCTTTCCTGAGCTTTTCCTCTCAACATTGGTTTCACAGGTTTGATTTAGTTTTCCGGTAAATCAACATTGAAGGGGAAAATGAGAAAAAATATCAACAGTCTTTTCCAAGTATTTTGTTCAAGTTGGTTTGTGTACTTGTAGATGTAGGTCACTTGAGTGCTGGACCATATGTTTTCATTAAACCTATCACCAATAAATGGGTGTGGGGAAGGTGCCCGAGTAAACTGAGGGAGCCGCAAGCGAGCATGAAGGTAACCATGACAACCCTGTGAGCGGCACCGCCAGGCACCATCACACTGAGAACTTCAGTGGAAAGTTTTCAAATACTTACCAAGACCCATCCAGAGTGAGGGAAGGGCTGGGAGCCAAAAGGCTTTGGCACAAGCACAAGTAAAGACAGTGTGTACGAAACGAACTTGATCTTTAAAGGAGCGCTTTAAAAATACTGGGGCTCTGAAAAAGCCCTAAGCCCACCCCACATACGATTAGCAACGGAGACCACTGGTCAGCATGGTCTCTTGTTTAACCTCGCCTAAATTACATTTAGCCACGTTTGCTCCTCAAGTTTACGTCCCCTTGATCTGTCCCTGCCGCTTGGGGACTGGTAGTTTGTTAAGCTTCTTCAAATCCCAGATTTTCCAAGGTGAGGTACTCGGGGGGTTTTGTGAATATTGTTTCTAAAATGTACCATTTTATATTGTTCCAAGTTGCATCCACAAAGTCAGTAAAGAGTAGCTTTGTTATGGAATATTTTTTAGAGCCTTTTTAATGGCCTTTCAACTGTATTAGCGAAAATGTTGCTTTCTAAGAAGTTCCTGTATTTGCGTTTAAACGTTTTTACTGAAGCTAACACTCTTTCTTTCTAGGAGTCAAATTGTTAGTTATTATTCAGGCACGTAATGTAGCTCTGACTGTATGTGCTTCAGCATAACTTTCATATTTTTTCGGCATTTCACTTTTTCACTGAACTAAATATGGAATTTTTCACAACTTTTGATTTGTATACCCTTGTGATTGATAGGCTGGGTTGAAGTCAAACATAGAGGTGTACAAACCAGAAGGAAAAAAAAAGAAAACATGCTATTCTGCCTTATTCCATGCTAACACAGGATCCTTTCCTAATCCTAATTAATTAAGAACTTTTTTTGGCATTGTATCTTATGCTCAGCTGCATCAGCTTTGGCTAGGATCTCTTCCAATATCAAAACTAGCTCACCACAATTCATTTTCCTGCCAACTGGCAGATTGAATTTTCAGTTTTCAATTGTCTTGTTTCTTCTTTGACACATTACATGTATTAAAAAAAAGCAGCTTACAATTGTTCAGAAATTTTCATTTTAACATGATTTTACTTTTCATAGGATATTGAATCTGCCATTGCTTTAGTATCATATTCACAGGTAAGACAGATATTGTTTTCTTTTGCCTTTCAATGTGTTTGGATAGCCTTGACAAATTAAATATTATTTTTTTACAGTCTTACTTTAATTTTTTTATCGTGTTATATGGTAAGTCTTTTTTTTCAATTGGCTGCTATTCAAAAATTTAAGATATTGACTGTTTCATGATGACTTATTGTCAATATAATTTTGAACTTATGTATCATGCCATCAATAATAATTATTGTGATTATGATAATATCTAAAAATACAATGTTAATGGTTCAAAGGAAATGAAAAAATTTGCTGACCTGCATAAAAAATGCAGTTACTATAATGGAAGATTTGTTATTGAATCTTTTCTTCCTTAGCAGCAAGGTATTAGAACTAAATATTGCACTTTTCTGACACAGTGAATGGGAGGAAAGATTAAAGTTTTTCTAAACATTTTTGTTATAATTTTACCAAAGCTAGATAACATTGCATGCAAAGATGCATAGACTCACAGTGAAATAAACATGACAACATTTCTTTATTTAGGTTTTTCCTATGCAAATTTTCTAGCTGTCCAGATAGAATTTGCATTAAACATGTATTGAATTATGATGAAAAGTGACTGAGCATTTTATGTTTCTTATTTAGTCAAACACACTCACTGTTCTTGGTAGACAAATGTTCGTGAATTACTCTAAAAGTCAGGAAATTAAGAGGTGAGCATGCAGTTAAACATCCATGATTCGTAATTTTTTGATCAGTCATGAATGCAGAGAATGATGCAAACTTCTTGGTGCTTCATTTGAAACTCTGCTTCCAAAGCATTAAAATGCATAAAATGGGAGATGATACCATGGATGCAAATGAAATTTAAGTTGTTCATGTGTGGCTTACCTGCAGAAGTAAAATCCACACATATTCCCCCAAGAGATGGCAAGATATTTTTCTCCCTCACCCATCTCCTTACCCCTCTTCCTCCTGTCTCCCATCCTCTGCCCCTGCAAATTTCTGTCGTCATTTACTCTAAAACCTATTCCCAATCAGATTTACAATGTACATGATCACATAACCTCTCTTGTGTGGAGTTACGTGATCTGTTTAACTCAATTTCATACTTGACACATCAAATGGATTTTCTTTTCCTGTCCTTTTTTAAGCTGGAGAACCTAAACACTAAAGTTAAACCATCTTGTTTGCAGTGGTGACAGTTGTGAAAATGTGACCTGCTGCTTACACTTAGCCACAAGTTTTAGCAGTCACAGTAAGGGATGTAGCAGGCCTATTCCATACAAAACTAAACATCACCATTCAACCTTGTCCTGAGCTCTAGTGTGTGCTTTACTCCGTGTTAGAGGTCCCCCACTCCTCCAGCTCTTTCATAACTGTTCTCTGCCAGGTGGTTTTTGGCTGGCGTCTTTTCTGCCCACATCTATTGGTGCTGTCCCTACGATCTAAATGCCTGGAACAGGCTACTGGGCACCGTTAGGACTTGACCAAGCCATGGCAGCCTGTGGTTATTACAACCAACAGCTCCTATGGCCTTTTGAATTCTTTGAAGAAAAGGTTTCCTGAGAGTTCTGTTAGGGTGATTGATGCAGGCAAAAATGTAGTTATGTGGTTAAATTTGTGGCGTTAGAAGTTGAATGCTATTGCAAAGTGCATTTTTAAAATCTGTTCACTTGTTGAAATCATTATGTGCTTAACAGATAGGTTTCACCATTTGCACTTTCTTACTTAAGCTGATCAATGTCGTTACTTAAATGCCTTGGGTTATTTTTTTCTAATAATATTATTTAAATTTGTTTCAAGAAAAGAAAAGCAAAGTTTTCAGTGAAAGCCCTGTGACAGCAAATCCAGCTTTGCTCAATGTTGATGCTGAAGATGGGCTGTACTGCCCTTTGCAGATCAGACATTTAGATTTAGATTTTATTCCTTTTCAGGGATAAAGTTCTTAATGGGGACAGCAATGGAGGAAGTTCTGAAGCCAGCAACATTCTCCTTCTAACAATCATCAATCCTTTACACCCAATCACAGTGGTAAGTTAGTGTTCAAATTATTCCAGGTGTCAAAAGGGGCCCACAATCCTATTCTCCAGGTTGCTATCAAGCATGCATCAAGTCAGCATTTGTCTGGACTTGCACTAAGAATGAATGGAATGTACAGAATGCCATCTGATCACCCATGTCTGTACCTTCTATCACTCACAACCTGATCATGCACGTTCTGACCTTCTATCACATGCAACTTATGCAAAGTGCCAGCGTTGGAGCAAAAGCATTTTGCCTTAGATCAGAATCCTGAAACTTGCCCACAGTCCCTAACCTTTGGTTATTATTAGTTGTGTTATTTTTTGTCTTATGGTAAAAATCTTTGTTATGCTGTAGTTGCTTAAATTTCAGTGAAGATTTTGTTGGACTGGAATTAGAATTTACATCACATCATTATTTAAAATTTTTGATTTTTTTAATGACACTTGAATATCCTTTTCCTTGCAGAAAGTGCTTCATAAAATATGCACTCCCCATGGCAAGGTTTTACGAATTGTGATTTTTCACAAAAATGGATTACAAGCTTTGGTTGAATATCCTTTCCAAACTTTATGTACTTTGTTGTTAAAAAGTGTCTGCCCGGAGTATCTAAAACTCTCAACAAAAATGATGTGGAAAAGAAAATTCTGGAATGCATGTCAAAGATTATTTTTCATAATGGCATGTTCACTGGCCTTGGTTAAAAGATAGTCAAAACAGTAGACAATGGCCAAAAATAGCCACAACAACTTAATGCATGAAAAAATTTTGTCTACAGGACTAACACTGATTTCTGCATTGGAGACTGATTTTCTATCGTTCAAACTATACCTTTTTTTAAGTGTCAAACAAACATAGTAGTAGAGGAACCAATGAATGGGGACACTATAAATTAAAATAAGAAAGTATTCTCGTAGCGATTAAAATCGAATTAATAAAACTATTTCAAGTGTATCATTATTGACTAGAGACCGAAGGGTAAAATTTATAAAATTACAGTGAAACCTGTATTAAGTGGACACGCTCGGGGAATGCTGTAGTGTCTGCTGAATACAGGGTGTCCGCCTAATAGAGGTTTCGATAGATAACGTCATATCAGGTGTCAAATGCCATTCAAATGAACAGTGGAAATGTTTAGAATACTTCCTGAGACTCTGACGATATACGTTTGCAATTTTTTTTGTTTGACCAATTATTGATCGTAGTACCATAAAAATAGACTGCAACTCAAATTTGGAGAAATCAGATGAGTGAAACAAGCTCTATACAAACAAAGTGAAACAGAACACAGGGCTGTGCGCTAGCAGAGCCCAGTGGCCCCTGGTGCCTAACTTTTGCCCTCGGGTGACAAAAAAATCTCAGATTTTTCATACAAATGATATGCTTGGCACCATAGATTTTACAGTTTCATAGCACTGGGCTCCCTTCAATTTTCCTTTGAGCACAGCCTTGGAACAATACCTAAGTATTGTGAAACTAATCAAATAAGTTTGTCAAATCATGTTTTTTAATGTAAAAATCGAAAAAATTTGTGGGTGGCAATTTGAGGCAATCTTTCGCATTTCCAGTGTCTGACATGTTGGGTGGTGGAATTTAATTGCAAGTGTCCGTTTAATACGGTGTCTGGCGTGTTGGGTGGTGGAATTTAATAGTTACAAGTGTCCATTTAGTACAGGTTATCAACAATAGAAATGACCATTTCAGGTACTTTTTAGGTGTCTGCCTCCACTTAATAGAGGTGTCCACTTAATAAAGGTTTCATTTAAAGTAAATCAGGGAAATAAATTTGGGGACTTCAGCTACTGTCCGCTTAATAGAGGATGTTTGCTTAATGCGGTGTCCACTTAATACCGGTTTCGCTGTATTTTAATTTTAATTTACTGTAATTATTTTGTAGTCAAAACTCAGAGATAAAGCTATTATAATATATTATATTCTTAACTTTCATTACATTTGACAATGTTGAGGCAGCAGAACGAGCACTTGCATCACTTAATGGACAGGACATCTATGCTGGGTGCTGTACCCTCAAGATTGACTATTCAAAGGTATTAAATGTTCCCAAGATAAAAGTTTTTTCAGTGATTTTTTTTATTGAGGAATATTTGATAGTAGACTGCAACTTTGATTAAAAGGTTACTCGTCCATTACTTTTTATGCAATATTAATGCAAAACCAAGATAATTGCAAGGTCGTTTTTGATGCTCAGTTAAAAAAGAACCTAACTTAAAAGTAAGTAGATCTTACTTTGTCAACAAAAATGTCTGAATTGTCTGACTCTTCAAGGTGTCACAAGAAAAAGTTGCATTCTTAGTCTAACAAATATTATAAAGTCCTAATTAATCAATGAATTATCTCAAAATATTAGTGACAGGTCAGTGTTACAGGTAGTTGTAGTTGGTATAAATCTCAAAACTTGTTTTTTTTTTCTCTCTTTTTTTATCACTGGCTATTTTCAGAAAGCTAAGAAGTTGAATGTTTTTAAAAATGATGATGAAACATGGGATTATACTGGGGCACTGAACAACAATTCAGGTAACTTTGTACAGATTATTTAATATTTGACTGTACTTTTATCTTCAGAGGTGATGATGGGTAATTACCAGTAGAGAACCCCTTCCCCCACCACCGTAGCTGTCATAAGAAGTAACTGTGGCATAAGATCGTCTTTTAGGTCATTCAGTCTTTCAACCAGTTTGGCGCTAGTCAACGATTCCCTGCCAACTCCACTCCTAACCTTTTAGTTTATTAATCTCTAGTCTGGTCAGCTTGTCAATAAACTGTGTTGCCCAAACATTGTGGTCTGTGTGTGATATCATTAGTAATTTATATTCTTGTTACGGAATTTTAGCTATTGTTGAACTCCTGTAATACTTCTTCAGTACTTACAGATATACCAGTTTCTAACCATTGCCGTTCCTTTTTTTTTCCCATTAAAATGTGTTTCATAGATGGTTTGTGAAGTGGTAACCTTAATCATTTAATGTCAGCGTTCTTTTCTTATATATCTAAATAATACTAGTATTTGTAACTTAACAGCTAACCAGCACAGGTACTTACATGTAAATACAATCAAATGTAAAAGCAGGATCCTCAGCTAATTTATGCCTTTTAATTGTCTTCCTAATAACTATTAATAGTTTTATATGTAGCAAAGAAATAATATACTGGTTTTGTGCCCAGTTGTCCCCAAGCTACTCTGTGCATGAACCCCCCAGCTCTTTTCACAGGAAGCGAAAGAAAAATTGAACCAAAAGAACTTCATAGCTGCTCCCCTCCTAATTACATATACCTGGCAACTTGAAATCTTAGCAGCAGCCCTGTCAATCTTGCCATCTTACTGTTATTGAACAGGAATTCCAAGCAAGACCGCGCTCCTGGGCTCAGGACTGTTGTCAGCAATTTCAGGTAGGTTTTTGCTTACCGGAATGTCAGATTGTCGTTGAAGGCAAGGAAAAGGTCTATCAGTTGAAGAAAAACTAACTAACTAACTAAATAAATAAATAAATAATGATATTAGAGGTAGCACATCCAGTAGGTTCTTCATCTGCCTGATTCCTGGTCGAATTGGAATTTGGAAGTGTTTGGTTTTGAGGGGAGGGGAAAACCGGAGTACCCAGTGAAAAACCTCTCGGAGCAAAGACGAGAACCAACAACAAACTCAACCCACATATGGCGTCTATGCCAGGATTTGAACCCGGGCCACGTTAATGGGGGGCGAGTGCCTCTGGCCCTAAGTTTCAAACAGCTAGCAACAGTAATAAGTGTGTGGTTTTGAACTGTTCTCATGTGTTATAAGCTTTTTTGTGATTGGTTAGTTCACAATAATAAATTATTGGCCTGTCAGAATCGAATCAAAGTGTTCACAGTGTTTTGAAGTGGAGAGTAAAAATATCCAGTAGCTTGTGCACACTTTTTCAAGTGGCTTAAGCTGTGTACGTTGGCCTCACTGCAGTATGAGGGGACATTGCTTGGCACAGATATCTTCACTTTTACACTCCATCATAAATTGCAGGGAGAATGAGTGCAAATTTTTGGCAAAAAGTGTGCATCTGCTTGTAGGCTGGAGTGGACGCAGCAGCTTCGCATTATGGGAATAAAATTGGACTTTTATAGGTGGTCATAATGCACCAATTTCTTTGAGCGTTTTTATAATAATATTTTCATTTAACTTTCTCAGGAAATGATACAATTGAACCTCAGCTGTCCAGTTCACCACCGGATAGTATATTACTAAATGGAAAAATGAGTGAGTAACAAGTATTGTAATGTTATGGTTTCCATCAGAAAGCTGACACCAGTTGTATTGCTTAGTCCCTGAAAATAATATAGCCTTGCTTCACATGTCCTGAGATTTTCAACTTTGTTTTGAAACTTTTCTGTGGCACTAACTCATCCTATTTTCTCAAAACATTTCATATTGTAGGTGTGAATGGTTCAGCACTTTCTATCTCCACTGAAGCAATTGCAAGAGCAGCGCAGTTTCCTACCGTACAAAGTATGAACACTGATGAATGATATTGAAGTCGTTCAAAATATTACTTTATATCCTACAGTTACAGCTAAATGAAGACTCTGTCCAAGTATTTAAATGTCTCTCTTAGAAACCCGTTGTATTGACCACTCAATATCATTTATCCATAAATTTTCCATCATTGGACAATCGACATAAATCTTACAATTTTGTTCAGCATTACCACATTATGAAAAATTACAAGGAAATGTAAGCCAATCAGAAACAGGGACATAATTTGAATACATGGCAGTGAAAGTTATTTCATGGACCTTTAACTGGGTTTGTACGTGTATCAGTACACTGAATGACCATTTTTAAGACTGTGGGCTTGAATATAATGGTCGCTCTCTAATGTGTGCATGTTTCTTGATGACTTTTCTTTGCAGGTATTCTGGCTAAAGTGGCTTCTCTTCATGGTACTCCACCCCCTAAAAGTCCAACATCAGGTAAAAGGATCTTGATGATAAATTTCTAAAGTTGCTAAATGTTATGGCATAATAAATGTAGCTTGGGTGTTCGTCAAGCTATACAATCTTTGTCCTTATTTTCAACAGGCAGCACATCGCCAGTGGAGAATGTTGTCAAAAAGCTCGGGATTCTTGGAAGCTCGCCATACCAGCTGTCACCACAGGGTGGAATCTTGAGCGCTCTTCCTGGACTAACACAGCAACAACAGCAGCTGAATGGCATTTCACATGCTTTGAATGCAGGTATGATATATATATTTTTTGTTTTTACGGCTCAATAACTAACGAAAGGTTGTCCTGGGGAAATACTGGAGCTAGGCTTCGACTGTAAGGGTATAAGCACATGGGGGCTCATACACACAAGTCCTGTAATGTCTGAATGATGGATAGCTTTAATCTTTAATCTTTAAAGGGTATGCTCCTAAAACAGTTTTAATTAACTATACTAGGATTTTTAAAAGCATAATTAAGTAAATAAGTAACTAAATAAATAAACATATAATTATGTACACATTTATTCATTTGTTTACCAATACAGCAACCCCTCAAAAAGAAGATTATTAGCCGGTGGGGTAACAAAGAAAAAAAAAAACAACAAAAAACAAAAAAAACACAAAACACATAACACATAACACAAATAACAAGTAACTAGTTGATTAGTTAGTAACTCAATTCATGATCAGAAACAGTCCAAAATCGCTCCAACTGTTGATGGGTGATTCTAGACACACTGGCCCGGAACTGAACACGATCAGCGGAGAGAGTAAAAACATCTGCAGGCAGTGAATTCTACTGAACTATAGTTCTTGGGTAGAAAGACAGTCTGTGAGAGGTTGCAGAGGTGGAAATCGGGATGAAGGAGTGATCATGGACATGTCTACTTCTGCGTGTTGGTGAACGCAAATTGTCGCCTGGGTTCACTGCAACTAAGTTGTTAGTAGATCCTATACAACATGGTCAGGCGCGCGTCGACTCTTCTTTGTACTTTTTAACCCTTAAAACCCCAAGAGTGATCAGCATCAAATTTCCCCTTGTAACAGAGTGGTCGTGAGAATTAAGGACGTTATCACACAAGATGTGTTTGTTTGATATTTTATTAACTTCTCCCCACAACTTAAGTGGTAAATGAATTTGGGCGACAAAGGAGAATTTTAATTTTAATCAAGTATATACCTTTATGTTCTCACTCTCTCCTTTCAGGTGGCACGGGTTGTGTGTTGATGGTCTACGGACTAAATGCTGAAAAAATGAACTGTGAGAGAATTTTCAACTTGTTTTGCCTGTATGGTAATGTTGTCAAGGTAAATACAACCTCAATCCTACCCTGGGTGCCAGAGACTTTTCTAGCGCGGTTCCGGTTTCTGTCAAGTCTTTACAGTGACCCGCTCGAAAAGTTTTTTCTCGCGACTTCGGCTTACTGTGTCGGCCTTCGGCCAGCGCCGAAAATTCCTGCCGTACGCGAGAAAAACCTCTGGTACCCAGGATACCTCAATCCAAACAGAAACACGAAATTTAAAGCAGGGATTTTTGGAGCAGGCCAATTTGTTGAGTTTATTTTATCCCATGAAAGGAATTAAACATGGAATAAAGATGATGTGAACTGCCATACAAATTAGTTTAAATTTTTAGACACAAAATTCCACAAATGCAGAAGGCTGTAATATTATAACTCTAGCTTATTAACAAGACAAAGAGAAAAGGGCTGTTACTGTTAAGTTCACTGTAAGAACCCAGATTAGAAATAAATAATCAATCATCCTTTTAAACGTTGGAAATTTAATTTTCGGTGAAAAATTACTCGGGAGACACCATTCTGAACCTTGTAATAAAATCTGTGCCCAAAAACTGATTTCACTGTATTTTAAAAGTGCAGTGATGTCTTAGTGCTACATCGTTCTAATAAATTTGTGCTAAATTTTCCAGGTTAAGTTCCTTACAAACAAACTTGGTGCAGCTATGGTTCAGATGTCGGACAAAGTCGCTTCTGAAATGATTATTAGGAACCTAAGTGGAGCCGTCCTTTTCGACTCCAAGATCAACGTCATGTGAGTGTAGCTAACCCTAATTTAAAAAATAGGGACTTTAAGATTCGAGGACGGCGAAGGCGGCGGAAACATCGTTTAAAAATCAGTTCGCGTTCTTTCAATCTTCATCGCGATTATCCCATCTCACTTAATTTGTCTAATGTAGGCAAACAGTCCGGGAGTTGAATTCTTAAGAACCATGTCCAAGTTGAGAAAGAGACTCGGAAGTAATAGTTCGACGTCCTCCATGAAACGTGAAATCCCGTCGTAGTCGTGTAGTGACGGCAAAGAAATGTACAAAAAAGCGTGATATTGTTGTTGTATTTGTACGTGGTTAATGGCAAAAATGAACGAATGAATGAATGAATGTTTTGACTATGCAGTCGCCGTCGTTGGATCATAATGGGTTGGTAGTCTTTGTTTGTTTATTTGTTTGTTTTTAAGAGAGCTTTTTGTGTTTCTGTGGCAGGTTTTCGAAGCACCCGTTTATTGCCGATTCATCTGTGGTAACAGCGTTACCCGATGGCACACCGTCGTCCATGAATTTTGCTGACAACAGAAACAACCGCTTTAAGTAGTAAGTTGAAGGAACGTTTCCTTGGTCCCAGAGATTTTTCTTGAAAATCTCTCTCCGCTTGAGAGAGAGGAAGCCGCGAAGCGGGCGAAAAGAATTTGACACAATGCTACAAACGTCCGGTTCTAAATGTTGAAAAATCATTTATACTTTTACTTATTTCTAAGCAATGTCTTTAATGCTGAGATTTCTTAGGTCTCCTCCATTAAAAAGGCTTTGTTTCCAGGTTTTTAACCTCAGAATCATAATAGACGTCTATAGTTTGACATTTAAAAGTTAGGCTCCGCTGTGTTGTGTTCGAAGTTACTGATTTTGCTTTCTTTCTGTTTGTGCAGTCTACCAGAGGGCCAAAGTCTCAAGAACAGTATCCTTTACTTTGACGAGCGCAAAACATTTTTTGAAATGTTGCGAGTGATTTACCTATTACAAACCGAATGATCACCACTATAATCTCTTAGCCATAAGGCAATTGACCAATCATCACCTTGATTTACCCTTGTTATTACGTGGATATAAGCAGTTAACCAATCAGCGCCTAGATTTGCCATTGTAATCACGTGGCTATAAGCAGTCAACCAATCAGCACCTAGATTTACCATTGTAATCACGTGGCCAAGAAAAGGTTAACCAATTAGCAGCTCAGGTCTAAACTTGAGATGTATCCTGATTATTATTGGGCTTAATGAATCTGACCTCAGAAAACTAGGCTAAATATCTAAGTGCAGAAAATACTTTTTCGGAAGAATAATATTTTAGTTTAGCTGTCTCAAGAAATGCAAAAAAAAAAAAAAAAAACCAATAAATTAAAAGGCGCGAAGAAAGAGGTTATTAAAATTACCAATAAATTTTTTATATGTAACTAAAAAAACAATGAAATAAAACACCCCAAAAAATAACTTCATTTTTTTTATTGTATCAACACATATGAACTATACAAAAAAAAAGTTTAGCTGTCTCAAGAAATGCAAAAAAAAAAAAAAAACCGGTAAGTTACAAGCCGCTACAGCATGGCATATTAACACCACCAATACGTTTTGTGTCTGTTACTGAAGTTACGGGTGAATAAAATCTCTCGAAAAATTCTTCAGTTGAATATGGCGTAGATTTAGGTAGGAGTGTTCCTAATGAAATTTCCTTAACAGACACATTACACAGGATACCAACCACCCACAAGAATGCTTCACTTTTTTAATGCACCCCCAAACTGCACTGTAGAAACTCTCAAAGAGGTGAGTGTTTATTTTGGGTATGTATATGCCTCGAGTCCAACCAATCCCCACATCGGAGGACATGGTTTGTCAGGCTACAGTCTGAGATACTGAACTTGACTCGCAGTTTTTTTTTCGTTTCAGGTTTTCATTGCAGCGGGATCACTGTCCCCTCTTAAAGGAACATTCTTTTCAAAGGGTTAGTCTGGATGTGTTATATATTACTTAAGCTGTTAAGGAGAATACAGCTTTATGACCCAAACAGGGTAATCTGACTTATCCTTCCCCGATAGCACGCGGAAATCAAGGTTCCTAGGAACAACTGTCTAAGCAAATTTTGGAGCAAGGCTAACTTTTATTTCAGTACGTTTTCGATGAAGTGTAATCGAAGTTGTTTTTCTACTATAAAATGCGATGTTATTCGCTGGTCATGCAAATTAGATTTGGACGCATCTCTCAATCTTAAATATCATGTAGGCAAACGACTGTTTAAAGGAGATAAATTGTATAATTTGATGGGAGTGTCGCGAGCTCAAATAGTCCAGAAACTAAGCTTCGTAAACGTTCGATTTTTTTTTTGGCAATGGGGATTTACCGCGAGGTTTCAATTTGGTGCAAGTCAACTTAACTGGCCTCATTTATGTTTAGCCAATGCAAAGTCATCAGCGGGACTGCTTGAGATGCCAGATATCCGTTCAGCTATGGAGGCGCTCACGCTTACAAACCACTTCACCATCAATCCACCAGGTAATGAACGTACTTGCTTTTTTCTACTGCTATCTCATAGCTGATGAGCGGCTTAAAAGTGATCAGTATCTAATTTTTCCTATAATGTCACTGCTTAGTCAGGTCTTGAGAAAAAAGGAAGTAACTGCCAAAGATAAAACCTGTTGATTATTAAACAAATTCTCTTTATAAGTAGTATAAGAAAGCTATGAAAACAGTGTGGAGATTATTGGTTTAATGGTTAAGCATCTCTGCCTGGGTTGTAACCCGGAGTTAACGCGAAATTTGAATTCAAGTCTGAACATTTACCAACAAATCCTTGTAAAAAGGGTTTTCTCCGACAATTTGATGTGTTAAAACTAAAGTGAATTCTTGGTTCATCGTCGCACCGTATAAAGTTCACGGTTTCTAAACTAAGAACACCAGCATTAAATACACTGTCTGTGCAGTATTGACGTCATAAGTAAAGCAGTTATGTACTGACTCATTTTCTTGCAGGTGGTGGGTCTTATACGCTGAAGCTTGCCTTCTCCCCAAGCTCTTCAATATCGCCCACAGCTCCAACGGTTGCGCCCGCAGTGGCTGCCGCAGCGGTTGCTGTCAGCAACGGCGCCAATCCCTTAGGTCCAATCGGCTCACCAGTGCACCCAAGATGCATAGCGACCAGCCCTATCAGCCTCGTGACAAATGGCGTAAAAGAATTAAATGGAGACGCAGAAAGGAATGGACTGAGTCCCGAACAGCTGACAACTTCAAGCCCCTAGGAAGACTGGCGAATAATCAGTAGCTACAAGCTGAATCTACACAGCGGCTTAATTCCTGGTGACTGCTTCAAGTAAATCTACATAATGTCTCCACCAGGTAACAGGTTGATGTCCAGTAATCATTATATAATTTATATTTTATTGAGTTATATCACGTGGTTTGTACTGATGTTCAAACCCACTGATCCGGCTCTCTATGGGGTTTGCGTTCTTTCATGACTTCTTATATCAGGTATAAAAGTAAGCACAATTTACAGTGTTTTCACTCAACCTAAAACATGTGGGCTAAGAAAAACAAGTGCTTAAAGTAATATGAACTCCAGAAACCCCTTCAGTTAAAGATCACCGAAAATCTTCGGCTTATCGTCGAGAATGCTCAGATTTCCTATGGAATGTCTGTACCATGCATCGCAAAATTTGGACCCATATAATTTCTGTAGGTGAGGTGGAAACACTGTAATATGTGCGCTTCAGTATAACGTCGCCAGTTGGGTTCAGTGTTTGGTTTTATTGTATTTACAGCAATTCCACAATTTTTCATTGGTTCAGTTTGAGGTTTAAAATACGTTGAGCGTGGGTTAGATATATTGAATAGTCAAAGCAGTGATATGTCTGCAAAAAGTATAAAAATATGTAACATGTATATCACAGATAAGAGTAGTAATTTTCTCTAAACTCGAATGTGCAGTGAGTATAAAGAGATTTTTCATTAACTTAAACGAAGTTTATTCTCAACGTTATAGATATATACAAATTATAAGTAGTGGAGTGAAGTAAAACTTCAAGTTCTTTCGAAAATAAGTATTATCATTGAAAAAGGCGTTTTCGTACACCAAACATTCAATTTTGCTCACTTATTTTGCATTTCAGTTAACACAAAATCGCTATAAATAATATCCAAGGTAAAACTGGTATCGTTTTCATGGGCAATGTAATTTACTCACTAAATGGTATTTATAATTTAAGATGTTTTCTAACCATATACTATTCTTTGTTTGTCATGACCGCACGAGTCGTGATTAACAAAACACATTTTAAACTGGCAAGGGGAACTTTCACTCTGCAAAAGTATATCTTGTTTTAAATAGAGTTCGGTTGCATCTATTTGAGCGTTTACACTCAATAATTCCAGCTATAGGTTAACGGTATATTTGACTCTTTAAGGGTGAATGGGTAATCAATTGAAATACTCCTCTTGCTTTTTTTGTACATAACATTAGTTATAAGAGTAGATGGGAAAGGTTAAATTCAGCAGAATTGCCCTTTTTGATGATCAGGTACAAAAGAAAGCTCTATTTTCCGAAAACGTTAAAATTGCTAGCGTTTGAGTTGTATTGCATTTGAAATAATTCCCTTTTCTTAAGTCACTCTGGCAAAGAAACTGATTTCCAAGAATAGTAGTCTACCTATTTAGAAACTTGTGGGAATATTGGGCTGGATTACAATGTAAGTTGATTTCGGAAAAGGGAGTTTTGAAGTTGAGTGGAAAGAATCAAGCGGCTCATTGTTAGAATCTTTTTATTATTATTATTATTATTCCTCCTTTCCTTTTTTGGGCTGTTTGAAGTGACGTTTAGGTAAATAGAGCTTTCCTTTTCTCATAAGAATCACAGAGTTTTCGTTAAGTCTCTCTCTGCATCATTGTAATATTCTCGGTAGAAAACGAAAAGAAGAAATATATTATTTCAAGATTATATCTGCCAGATTTAATGGAGCGAAATTCAACCATAATTTTATCCGCTTCTAATCCAATTTCCTTCAATGGATTTTATATGAGTATATGTAATTTATATTTTTTCTTCGTTTATTTTTCTCGTTTTGGTTTAAAAGTTTTCTAAATTTCAAAGGGAAAGAGCATTAGGTCACTCCCGAAGTGTCAAATTGTTTCTGTCGAACACTCCAGACAAGTGTTTCTTAGCGTAGCGAGAGGGGAACTCTTTTTAAAACTGCAGCGAGCCACTTAGTAAACCTCTTGTTGATTAGGGATATTGAAAGAAATAACATAATCTAAAGAAATACTATTATTCTTCTCGAGAAAGAAGAACATACATTTCAATTTGTTTGGATAAATTAATACATATTAAAAGTTTGCAATTTTCAAGAGAAAGAATAGCAATCAGATCAGAATATTTCAAATCTTGTACACACGTGCGCGATATAGAAAACATATACAAATGTGAAATTTTTAAATCTTCGAATTTTTTGTTCTCGTGGACTTCTCTCCGCTAGTTCAAGTCGCAAATAATTTTAAGTGGAATTAAATTAACTGCATACTATGCAGAGAGGTTTTAATATAATAATTCGTGCACATGTGAAGTTTGTTATAGGAAACTATGAACGTTTCGTTGTACATATTATAGGTTATAGAATTTAAGAACAGAGAAACATATCTTGTTTAAGCAACATCACGTATTCGACAAAAAATATAAAATGAAGTTAAAATTTGTCCGAAACGTTTTTTAAATGTTATTTGGTTGAAAAATGTTATTTGTATTCAAGGACGAGTTACAAACGCAAAGAAACTACACAAAACGCTGGTATCAGTAATGTAATTTAAGTTTTTTTTTCAAATTACGCTTATCTTAGATCAAGCAATCCTTGTTTGTATCAAAATATTTACATGACGCCGAGGCTCTCCAATTCTATTTCATGTCAGCCTCGATTCTATGAAAGACCGTGGAACGAGGTTTTATGTCAAGTTTACTTTGGGAAAATAAGGGGTCTTTGAAATTTGCGACTGAATCTGTACCAGGATGGCTCGGTGTGGTACCAAATGTTTTGATACATTCAACGTGGTCTATTGTTTGCAGTCGTCATACGCACTAATTTAATACGTTATTACATTGTTTACAATGCACATGTTGAGTTTTTTAAGCCTTTGATAATCTCTAAATATAAATGGATTTCAACTTTTTCTAGGATATTTTTGGACATAAAGTTATAGTAACACAAGGTTTTTTGACAACTTATGTTGTAAGTAAAGTCCTTGGAAGTCATACAATTCAGTTTCCCATAGTTTATTCCCAATTAAGCATTGAATAAATAATTTTTTATTGAAGTCAACATGTATTAACTCAGCAGAGGAATTAATCTATAAGCGATCTTAATTACCTAAGCTCCTAAAGTTTGAAGTAGGAATTTGAGTCTTTTAGAGTTAGGTTTAATGTAAGTACATTGGAGCACATACTTCTGTAATGAATATTCAAAATGTTTTCGTTTTTTTTATTTTGTTTGTGTTTATGGGCGGTTAGATGTATACTCTGGTAAGCACAAAGTTAGTAGCGGTTTTAAAATCACTGGTGGTAAACTAACTGCAAAAAAAAATCACATGACCATTCTTCACTTGGACAAGAGGTGCGACTAACCAATCAGAACCTTGTAATAAAACATGTGATCCTCGTGAAGCGGGAGAGGCATTTTACGAGTGCTCAATAGTGCTTAGTTTGATTTGGAAAACGCGGTAAAAGGAACAGGAAAGAAGGCGGAGGAAAATCTCGCCTAGTCGGACTCAGGTGATTACCGTATCTATTCGAATAAACGCCGCATGAATCACAAGAATCTGATGCATATTCAAGGATTATGAGAAAACACTCGGTACACTACACCACCCAGGCTGAGGCAATTTCGATCTCAGCGAAAAGTGAGACATTGAAACGTTAAACGTCTTTCTGTTTTAAATAACATTTACAAATGATTTATCGTAACAGGTGTCAGTGATTTTGCAAAAAACACGCCGCCCTTGAATAAACGCCGCGGCGTTTTATCGAATAAATACGGTAGTTCAATTAAACATCTTTGAGGTCATTGGTGAGAGCACTTTGCACAAGCTTCTTGATCTACTCCACAGAATTCGGGTGAAAAGTAATTTAGTGGATGGCTGTGATTAATTTAAGAATTGTTACACGTTAATGAACAAAAGTAAACGTGCGCCCAGAGTCTGCAATATTAATCGGGAAAACCGCCTGTTTCCTTTGCAAAGTTACTTGCGTTTTTGTTTTGGTTTACTGGAAAACTAATTTCCTAAATATTTTTTGTTTTCGTTTTCAAGTCGTTTCACTTGTTAGGAGTCCAAGTTACGTTCGTTCTCAACGAAATCTTGTAAAGCCTGTCCAGTATCATCTAGCCTTTTCAGTGTTTAGATATTGATGTCCAAAAATTGTGTTGTTGCGTCGATTTTGCCACAAAATGGAAAAGTGTACTTCTTCACGGGGGGTTGTTTGACGTTCCAAAGTTTTAAGTCCGTTCTCTCTTACTACAGGCCTCTTTGTAGTATGAGAACTCTAAACTTCGAGATCATTAAACCATCGTTTGTTTTCTCTTTAAACCCGAAGGCGATTAAACCATCAAAGTTGCACGATTTTTCTTGTGAACGCCATCGATGGAGGATGTTCTCGTAGAGTGTTTTGAACTAATACGCTTAAATGACTTGTTTGAAAAAATCCTCGAGAATATGGCACTTTTCCATTTTGTCTTGCCATTGATTATCACTGTTGCAGGCTGTAAGCAAACAATTTAGCTTGAATAGATGTTTAGCTAGGCTGTAAATGATTTTTAGGCCCAAACCCTGATGCCCGGGGGACTCCCATAGCAAAATGACGGGGGTGCTCGTCATCTCGCTTAGGAATAGAAACTTAGGGTGTTCCGGTCGGAAAGCCAATATTTTTGGCCATAAGGGGATCACTTAGCGTTTTGCATAGAGAAATATCCATATTCGAAAAGGCAAATGCCGTCATAATTTGTTATAGTATAGCCTGATCAACGCCCAGATTGGTCTCCTGCAGGGGTTAATTCTACTTCTCCGACGAGAATCCCAGTCATTTTAATATGGGAGTCACTCCTCCGCCGGGGCGCTGATGCTGTTTGAGTGCCTGTTATGTACGCAGTCAACTCCCTGAGACGGATATCTTTGGGACCAACTGTAACTGTCTTTCAATAGAGGCGTCCGCCTTATAAAGCGTTTTCACTCACGTGGCCAGCATCTATGCAAATTTATTGGACACGAAAAGTGCGTTTACATAAGAAACGTTTTCAACTCCCACAGGACTGGTTCGTGACACCAACATTGCCGCCGTGACGTCATGTGAAAACACTCTATAGTTAACCACCGACAAGGACTGGACATTTGTTACGCTCATCATTTGTGTGTCCGCTTTGAGACAGACATGTCGGTCTTCTAGAGATGTTCATTAAGGGGGAGTTGACTGCTGCATTTGCTTTCCATGAAGAAGAAATTAATTACAGCAGCAGCATCGCTTATCTAGGTGCTTTAAGTAGGCAGAAAAGAGAACTAACTATAAATGCTCTTTTGCGATAGTTCATGCTTATATAAAAATTGTTTTATATGTCAACTACTGAAACAATGGAAGCTTTTTTGCAGAGCCAATGAGCCTCTGGTTCACATAGATTACTAAACGCGAACTATCGCAATTGTACCCTTCAGCTTTAAGCTAAATTTTGAAGGCCCTGCTTCGTGTAACAAACCGCGAAACTTGATCGGGAAGCGCTAGTATTAGGTAGCGTACAAAAGCGAGACATTTTTACAAAGAGATGATTCGCAGTAAAACTCGGCGTGGTGTTACAATCGCCGTGAGTAGAAGACGACACTCCCTTTTGTTAAACAGGCTACGGAAATTCTTAAAGTTTCAAGTGTATTGGGCATGTTTCGCGATGCACGCTTGCTGAGCCTTCCTTAGTAGCTTTAGCTTTGAACAGGACCTTATATTTTAAGAGGGCTTGTTCGTTGGGCTTTTGGCTCTCTATAAACATTTTGTAAATAGTCCTGAACACTCGGAGAGCTTTTGTAAAGCAGCTGGCTCTGAGAACAGCTAACGAAATATTCCAAGTATTACTGAATATTGTTAATCACTCGTACATACAATGTAAGCGCGGCTTGAAATGTTTGACTCCTGCATGTACTACTGGTTCGCTTTATGACCACTGAATAATGGTTTCAGGCTTAAGGTTTCAATAAAATTCCTCTAACAATGCATCACATTCTGTATCTTGTGTCTATTGTAGGTATCTGTTGCTGATCTGTTTTTAGTCTTGCATTTTACAGCTCGTGACTAACAGTCGGAAATTTGTAGCGCTTGTTCAGCAGACAGTGTATTATTGGATCATGCCATGCTGAATATTGAAAAAAACCAACATGTTTAACGTTGTTGATTAGGAACAGAGATGGTTCCTATTCTGTCCAACAAGCGTCAACTTGTTGAGCAACGTCAGTCTTGAACGCGCTGAATTTGCATTTTATTCATTCAACAAGCTGCAATAAGTTGAACAATTGACTTCTACAAAGTTAATCAAAATGTGCGTTGAAAACGTACGGAAAACCAGATTTTTCGCAGTTGCACCCTCTTCCTCAGTGGTTGAAAGCAACTGAAAAAAGCAAGCGCAGTGTAACGTTTAAATAAAAAGCAAAACAAAGACCAACGTTCCATGCGCGCGCTGGTTGAAGTGTCCGGTGTCTGAATATCAATCTGGCCTCAAAACTGCGCCTTTCTGTTGCACTTTTGAAGCCAGAGCGGATCACCGATACTAACATGTCGCCGACGCTGTGATCAGGGGATGCAAAGTGGCGGCCAATGGGGAGGTCTGTGTAAGGTAATCGAGTGGAGCGGAAATGTTCTCACCCAGGCGTCTCCCAGTCTCTCAGTGTACACTTTGTTACAAGTACGGCATTGAATCGCATACACCACGTTTTCGCCGACACAGGTGTACTTAGACTTGACCGTAATGTGTCATCCGGGAGTAGCAATAGAGGCCGATGAACGTTGTTGAACTGTGTCGCTGGTTTAACGTTCTTGCGGACAATAATACTACCGCTGATGGTAATGTGACGATTGTAGTAGTGGTTTTAGTAATAGTGATTGTGATGATGGTGGTGCCGAAAAAGGAAATAATAGTGCTAGTGCTGATGACTGTGGTGGTGGCAATGATGGTAGTGGTGATGGGAAACATGTTGGTTAAGGCGTTGTTGGTGGTGAACGCAGCAGTGATCATGGTGGTAGTGGTAGTGGGGGTGGTGATAGTAGGGACCGTGAGGATTGTAGTGCTAGAGCTGCTTATTATAGTGATCAAGTATTTTTGACGGTGGGGTTAGTAAAAGTGAAGGGGTTTTGATTATGGTGGTAGTGGTAGTAGGTATAGCATTGTTGATGATAGTGGTTATGCATGGTGAAAAAATTGGGCGATGATGATTGAAGAAGTGATGATGGTGGCGGGAGTATTGGCGGAAGTGGTAGTAGTGAAGGTGGTTTCGGTTGCAGTGGTGATGATAGTAATGGTGATGGAAACACTAGAAGTTCCCGGGGGGATGGTACTCATAAATTTCGGCTGCCTGTGTGCCGCCCACAAACCCTGACCGTGTTTAAGGATGAGACAAAGGCTGGGTGGATGATTTGTATAAAATTTTCCACCCGGGGCTCGAACTCATGATCATTTCTTTTTATGTCTGCTCACTGGTGCAGAATGCGGGAAAGGTCTATTAAAAAAATAAAACTAAAAATTTAGTGGAGACAGACACTAAATCGCTTTCCTAATACTCAAAGCTAAAGTTTAGTTTTAACAGATGATTTGTTTCTCGTGTAAATGTGGTATTTACGCCCTTGAATTTTAGCTTATATAACAACAGTACCCCATCTAAGGATCACACCGGGAACACAACGCCAACAAGGGCAAAAATGATAACCTATTTAAGGATGGAGACCCACAAAAACCATACCCTATAGGGCGACACATCTATCCGGCCGAGATATTGGAGTACCATAACCTCCCCCCCCCCGCCGGGTAGAGGTGGTGAGTGGTGATGGTGCAGGAGGGTTGTGCATATTAAGGAACTGGTCTTTCTGATGGTGGAGGTCGCTTGTATAGTAATTATTGACACTCATCAATTACACCCCCTCACAAGAAGAGTATTCAAATTGGTGAAACATTTCATTGTCTCCACGGCCAACACCCCGATGAAAAACATTGACACGAACCTTATTCCAAATACGAATCGATCAATTAGGGGATTGTTAATTTCTATTTTGAAGATACTGACTATGACTTGTTCCCCGACTTTGGAACAAGCTCCCCTTTGAAATTCGAGCTTGTTCTGGTGTTAATCTTTTTAAATCTAAGTTGAAAACGTTTCTTTTTAAAAAGGTATATGACATTTAGTTTCATCATATTTGTTTGTTTGCTTGTCTGTTTGTTTGTTTTTTTTCCTTCCCTTTTTAAGATGTGTATGCTAAAAAGCCAAACATTCACTTCCCAATATGTACAGTAGGTTTATATGTAAGCTTGTGCTTAATGATATTCTTATGTCCTTTTTTACATTGTAAAGCGCTTAGAACAGCGATGTATAAGCGCTATATAAATTCCATTATTATTATTATTATTATTATTATTATTATTATTATTATTATTATTATTATACTGAACCAAAAGACAATTAAGGCCATTTATAAGAAGAAGTGGAGGCGTGCGTGGCCGAGTGGTTAACACTTCGAACTCCGGATCTGGAGGTCCCGGGTTCAAGCCTCGCCCGTCGCGTTGTTTCCTTAGACAAGGAACTTTACTCTACTTTGTCTCTCTTCACCCAGGTGATTAAATGGGTACCCGCGACATACTATTGGGGGTAACCCTGCGATGGACTGGCATCCCGTGCAGGGGGGAGTAGCAATTCTCCTACGTGCTTCATGTTAATGAAACCGGCTTCGGCCGCCTTTACCTACCTTTTGATAAGGAGAAATGTTGCCAGGTAGAAGGGTCACCCGCCTACTCGAGCTACCCGGGGCAAGCCAACTCTTAATACATTTCTTTAATCCTTAATCTTTAATTAATCAACCTTAGTTCTTACGAAGGACATAATTACAGTAAAATACAGTTCAGAGTGTCGAAGCCAGAGGCTTATATGGCATAGGTCAAGGTCAAGAACAAGCCAAAATGTGCTATCACAATGTTACATTCTGCTAGTCATTCCCGCCTTACAAAACGTGGCGAACCGTCAACATGAGAAACAAAAACTTGGCTCCGCTGTGATGGTAAGGTCACCCTCCAAGCCGGACCAACTTTTCTCCATATAAACACTTCGGCTCGCCCAGCCTGGTTAACTCGGTCAACGCGAGACAATCAGCGCATGGGCGAGTGCCATTTTAGACAAATAGAGCATGCCGCAGGAGCGCTGTTGGCTCCGGCAAAGGGGTCAACTTTTTTGTCATGTAGAGGCTCGCTGAAGTTGACTCGGATGGGAGGGTGATTCTTCTACCCAGGGCAGGCATTTTTCTTTTTCACAGAAAACGGGGCCTAAGACTGATTTAAGAGGTCACTGACGGAATTTTATTTGAAATAATAAAATGGTTTCTGTGGCGCGAGTAGGTCAGCAGTGGCAGCCAAAGTACCATTATTTGGCAGAGGCTGGATTCCTAGAAGTTTACACATCATTGGGTACAGATTGACTAATTCAAACGGTCTTCCCATATGGTTGACTTTAAATGCGGGCCCGTGTGCGATGAACACAGTGGACATCGTCTGGCAATTGCAGCTGAAACCGTGAGAGAGCTTCGCCCATCGACTCGAGCGGCCTAAATAACGACCTTTCTTTGAACTCAGACTCCAGCATTCTGATGGCACGAGCACAAGAGGTGAAATACGCCGGTTGTTCCTAAAGTGCAAATCTTTCGGAACGTCATATTTGTGGTAAACATGTAAATGCGGAACATTTTTCAGACGATTGTAAACGTAATCAACTTTTCCAAGTTTCGGTGCAAGCAGCATATTAAACCAAGAATCCCAGAAATCATAAGTGTTTGGGTTCACGTGTTTATCAAGGTCAATAACTTTGTTCCATGAAGTGTTTGCCATGCCGTGATCCGCTGTGATAATGATGTTCACAGAGTTTAGGAGCCCGTGATATTTCAATCCCTCTACAATCAAACCAATAACTCTGTCGATTTGCTGAATGGTTTTTGGTATCCCATCCCATCCAACAGAGTGGCAAATATGATCAGGCTCTTCAAAGTACACGGCGACAAAATTAGGTGGATTTGGACCGGTCAACCAACTCATCATCTTCTCGACACGTCTTTCGAAAGACACAACCCTCCCTGTTTTGTTTCTTGTGTCGATGTTTGACGATGGGGAGGTCTCCCGGTAGTACGGATACATCCCCTTGATTTTCACATTATACCCGGGCCAGTACAGTACAGCACTCCTACCGTTGTAGCGCTGGTTTGTCACCCATATTGGTTCTGCACCGTCCCACCACCGTGGATCTGTATTGGCGCCTCCAAAACGTGCCTTAAGATCTGGGTCGTACATGGTATTACCTACAATTCCGTGGCTTTCTGGGTAGAGACCGGTCACAATGCTGTAATGTGCTGGGTAAGTCACAGTCGGGAAGACAGATCGTACATAGGGAACAGTTACGCCAGTCTTCTTAAGGAAATCCAAGTACGGTGTATGGGCCTTGGAGGCAAAATCCCACCTGAACCCATCTAGGGAGATAAGAAGGAGGGGTTGAGGTTGCAACTGAGAGTTTGCCCAGTGAAAGAAACATAATGTGCCTGAGATAACTAAATAGATTGAAAGAATCATCTCTGATGAAGCAAACTATTACTCAAGGTCGCAATCGAATAGCAAGTACATTTCAGACAATTAACCTGTCATACTTTTATCGAGACACCATAAACAACCTGCTTTTCTTGTGTTTTGAATATAATAGATATAAACTTTGTACACTTAAGCCCACTTTACGCTTTAAAACGTACGCCAAAGGGGCGGAGCAAAGATAAGTATCCAAAGATGTCCGTATTCTGCCTTTTTTTTTTAGGCGAAGTTGTAAGTGGAGTTTTGTATCTGTGAGATTAAGAGATTACAGTGTCTAAAGATGCAAAGTACACTTTGTCAGTTTAACTGGTAGTGGGCGGAGCAGGAGGAGACTCGCAACTTCTCACCCACCCACCCCCCTATGCTCTAGGTTTACCCCCCTAGCCCTTTCTTTGATTCCTAGGCATCTCTTTGTTGCCTTTCTGCTGGCAAAATATTATGAAGTGTTGTGAACACGTCAAGAAGTTATTGCCAGAGCTTAAATAGGCCATTTTCGGGGACCAAAGATTGAAACCCTGACTTTTAAAACGTGGCCAATGATGATGATGATGATGATGATGAATAGTAAATGATACATCAACAGGTCGTCGTGATTAACCACATCGGAAATTCAACCTTCATCCACTTGTTTCTTTGCTTTAATTCTTTTTTCTGCATCCAGGTCACATAAATAGATATTTAGGCTAGTGCAAAAAAATTTTACTGTAGGCGAAAACTAGTCTTATAAAGCAAAGAACTGAGCGAAACTACATGTTAAAACAGCGGGTAATTCTGGTGTCAAAAATCTGACAGGTACATTGTTTGTTATCACGATACAATTGTTTTACGTTACACCATTGTTTTCCCCTTATTCACCGTGAATCTGTCTGCCCCTATGATGTTTGCGTTCTGTTATTTTATCTCAGGGATAGTTTTCATCTCAGGGGTAGATAGTCGACCCCAACCCCTCCTTCTTATCTCCCTAGATGGATTCCGGTGGGATTTCGCCTGCAAGGCCCATACGCCGTACTTGGATTTTCTCACAAGGACTGGCGTCACTGTTCCCTATGTGCGATCTGTCTTCCCGACGGTGACTTATCCAGGACATTACAGTATTGTGACTGGCCTTTATCCAGAAAGCCACGGAATTGTAAGCAATGCCATGTACGATCCAGATCTAAAGGCACGCTTTGGAGGCGCCAATACAGATCCACGGTGGTGGAATGGTGCGGAACCAATATGGGTGACAAACCAGCGTTACAACGGTAGAAGTGCCGTGTTGTATTGGCCCGGGTATAATGTGAAAATAAAAGGGCAGTACCCAAAATACCGAGAATACTCCCCTTCGCCAAACGTCGATCAAAACAATAAAACTGGGAAAGTTCTGCCTTTTAAGAAACGTGTTGATAAGGTAATAAGATGGCTGACAGTGAAAAACGCGCCAAACTTTGTGGCCTTGTATTTTGAAGAACCAGACAAAACTTGTCACCATCAAGGAAGGAAAAAGGTGTGCGAATCCATGCACAATGTGGATAAGACGATTGGACGCTTAGTGGAAGGACTTAAACAACATAAACTGCTGGACAAAGTGAATATTATCATCACGTCGGATCATGGCATGGCGAACACATCTTGCAACAAAATTGTCGATCTCGATAAATATGTGGACCCAAAGAATTTTGATTTCTGGGATTCGTGGTTTAATATGCTGCTTACGCCCAAACCAGGAAAATTAGAGTATGTCTACGATCGTCTCAAAAATGTGTCAAATTTGCACATCTATCATAAGAATGAAGTCCCCGAGTATTTACACTTCAGGAAAAATGGTCGCATTTCACCGCTTGTGGTGATTCCATCAGAGGGCTGGCTCGTAAGTTCAATTAAGGGCCGACACGTCCAGGATGACCCCGTCATAACGACGGAACTTTCACACGGATTTAACTGTAAATGCAAGTCGATGTCCACTGCATTTATCGCGCGCGGGCCGGCATTTAAGGAAAACTTCTGTGGAAAGCCTTTTGAATCAGTCAGTTTGTATCCATTGATGTGTAAAGTTCTGGAGATCCAACCTCTGCCAAATAATGGTAGTTTAGAGGCCACTGCAGATCTACTGAAACCAACAACCAAGTGTCCAACATCGTAGATTCAAAGAAAATTAATGAGTGAAGAACGTCACAGACCACTGACACAGGTGTCCGTCGGTTTTATATACTTAAATAGGTGTCGGCTGGGAGAGAGTGGGCTTTACTTCTCAATCAGTTCCTTGGCGGGATAATCAAGTCAAAGGAAGTTTCCTCCAATAACTATTAGGGACCTTAAGATCGGACGACGGCGACGGCAACGGGAACGCAACAGAAGCAATAGGTTTATTTAGCAAAACAACAATTTTGCACGTGCATCACGCTTTTTTGTACATTTCTTTGCCGTCACTGTACGACTACGACGTGAAAATGCCTAATTTCATGATGTACAGAGGAAGTACACAAGCGACGACGAGATTTCCTCTCTCTTTCTGAACTTGGATATGGTTCTTAGGAATTCAACTTTAGGAGGGTTCGCCTACATTTGACAAAGTTAGTGACTTGGAGTAATCGCGATAAAGATTGAAAGAAAGCGAATTCACTTTTTCAGCGACGTTTTCACTGCCGTCGCCGTCTTCGGATCTTAAGGTCCCTATCATAAGTGAAGCAAAAAACTATGATTGAGGTCTTTGGAGACAGTATGCGGGATCACGTGATCCCGTCAGCTGTCGCACAATCATAGCCCGATAAAAACGTCCTGATAACCATCGCGTGGTCGAGTGGTCATCAGTAAGTCGGACCCGCCATCCGGCGGTCCCGGGTTCAAGCTTCAAACCTTAACCAAGAGCGCGCGAGATCACTTCTCCTCCCCCTTTTTCATGTCTGTTCTTCCAATTTTTCTTAGTGGAGTCGATGGATAGGTTATAAAAGCAACCTGTTTAGATGACCATACGATGATCAGGTGTTCTGATTTTGTTAGTGCAAAGATCGGCAGATTACACCCCATCCAAAGTACATGATGAGCCAAAAGAGGGTTACTGACTTGTGTCCTCCCAGACATCCATTCGCATTGCAGGTGACACAAAATAGCACCACAGGGGGTACGTTTCATCTTGTGTACTCAAACAGTTCAAACGAGCTTGATAACCCTCACAATACTCTCATCAGCATTGTAGTGTACCAGTGTAGGTTGTAGGTAAGATTGCAATATTGTCCTGCGTTACATACACTACAAGAAATCATTCTTGACATCCCGTCCTGCGGTTTGCTGTTAAATTATTCCTCAATGACACGGGTAAAAAGACACACTGATGGAAGTACACCTTCTGGGCAGACAAATCGGTAAAATTTCTGCTTTGTCCGAAGGATGGTTGGAAGGGAGAACAAGATTTCAATTGACCAATATCTTTTATTTAGCATTATTACAATACTCAACTTACCTCATATTGTAAGTTACAAGGGTTTCTCTACTGATCACAGGCTTTAATCTCACAGTCTCTCTTCCCATAGGCATATCATGAACAATACTTTTTACCAAATGTAAGCATTTAATAGATGAGGAATGCTCAAGATGGGAACGTATCATTTTCATTATATGCATTGTTTGGTTATCAGTCACTATGTTATACAAATGGGTATTTACACTGCTTAATTCTTCAATATCATTCCCCAGAGGAATCACATGAACCTCGCTTGAAGTCTGTCTCTGCTTATTTTCTCTGTGCCACTTTAGTTAAAACTCCTGAAGACCAGACTTTATCCACCCAAAAAAGGATTCATACATGCCACAAACAACACTTGCCACAAACCAATCTAGGGTCCACACTAATACTACAAAGTAAGAATCTAGGAATTCTTCCAGGGTACGAAAATGAAAATTCCAGAATCCACAACTCCAGCATATGATAATGATATGAAAGCTAGACATCCTATATATCTTTTGCATTCCACATGTATACCAAGTTTTTCTGGAGTGAGAAAAAGGAGATCTTCCAGCTTGTTGTCCAAGGTACTGACAGAAAATTTTAAAGTCCTAGGAGTCTGCCAGAATTCCAGGACAAAACGATGAACTTTACCATACATGAATCTTGTCAGGTTAAGCTCAGTATCTTCACTTCTCACTAACATCAATGATATCTTCTTCCTCCATATCTAAGTCAACTGGGGTTTCGCTTCCCTTCAGCAGCTCCCCATCAAAAAAGAATTTGAGCTTAGAATGAGGTATTTTTCTGAATTCACAGTATGCTGCCATGAGCTTCTCTAGTGGATCAGTCTAAAACCAAAACAAAACACAAACAGATGTCACTTGCTTTTCAAGTCAGTAAAAACACTAAAACATTTTAGTACACACTGTAGCCTGGACATATCTAGAAAGACAATCATGTACCTTTGAGATTTTAAAAGTTCTCTTTGAGTCAGCATCTTTTCCTTGAACTTTTATCTCAATTTGATTGGCCTCTTCATCATCTATTTTGTCAGTCATTGCTGGAGTGTTCATTACAACACATTCTAGAAAAAAAGAAAGGTTTAAGGGATGTTTATTTGTGCTACCATGCATGACAATCATCCTGAACAAGTAAATAGTTTCTTAGGTTGATTTATGTTGCTTCCTCCATTAGGTTTGGAACTAAGCATGTACCGATGTAGGGCAAAAATGTTCCAGAGGGTCTTCTAGGAGGAACTCACCAATGATATCTGCTACATCGAGTTGGACAGAAATGGGTGTGTCATAACCAAGGATATTGATATCTTTAAGGGTTAACAAGATCGTATCTTCTGTTACACCTTCCTGCTCAGCTAACTGTAAAATGATCTTTCCAAATGGTTCAGACTGTGAAAGCAAAGTAAATGTCATTAACCTCATGTGAAGACATTAATGGGGAAGTAATAAATTATTACATTTCCAATTAAATTTCCAACCATACGGAAATTTAATACATTAATGGTTCAACTTGACTGCCTGATTAGCCAAGCCACTGTGCTTTTTGTTTTTGACAAAAGACAGACTGCAGAGTCTTTTGTAATAAACAAACCCTCCGTCAGCCCAGAAACAGAGTAAGTGATTGGTCAATTTTACAGCTGTTGACAGATCATTGACTGGTCTGTGGTGAGATTGCAAGTGACAAAAATAGTCATGCATCACAACTACCTGCGAACAATGACAAAGCGGTAATTGCTTGTAAACTAAAACTTTAAAGGATGTCTTACATAAGGAAACTGCTGTAAATTTCTTCAAGGGAAAGGAATTTAAGGCAATCTTACCAGAATTAAGGAAAGTGTAATTTTTCAGTTGTTTATATTCTATATATAAATTGTTTCAAGTTACCGGTACTGGGTTTAATTGCATTTGGTTAATTAAATTACATTGACAGCTTTGTTGTCCCCAAACAGAACAAAAGAGTCAGCAGTCTCTCATTTTTTCTTCTTGGGCTTATGCCCTTGTTTATCGTGGCTGCTCACCGCTTGTGTGCTTGGATTTAAGTGCAGTAACTTTGCAAAGAAAAATAAGAGACTGCCTGCAGTCTACTCGTGCCTAGTTGGACACTTGAAAATACACATCTAGCTCCTGTTACTGAAAAGAAAACAGTGATGGACAGTACTTACAGCTTTCATTGTGAATCTGCGCATTCCTGTCCTCGTTCGAACTTTTGCCACAACAGTTCTTTCTGATGGACTAGGGAGTCCAAAACTGTCATCTAGGCTATCAACGTTAACAACACTGGATGGTCTGTGGCTATCAGGTGAAAAAAGGGTGCTATCTGTTGATCTTTTCAGGTTATCCAGAACATTGTCAAGTTCTCTGAAAAATGAATTTGGCAAGTGATCAGCAATAAAATAAATCTGTATTGTCACTTGCCCTGGACAGGCAAACTGCTATACATGTATACCTGGCACATTTTTGAATCAAAGGAAGAATATTATTAATAAGGGGGAGCCAGGATTTCCAGGTATGAGCAGGCCTATCCCAAAGAGATTCTTAGTTTCAAAAACACATTTTGAAGAATTCTAGAATCACAAAGAAGACTAACTGAATTTAATAAAATCCAACAAGTGGTCTATTATCAATGCTACGTTCTGATTGGTTGAGCTACTACTAGACTATATGTCATAGCCCACTGGTGGCGAAAAGCCCCAGCTTTTTGGCAGCAAAAAAGGATTAAAGTCTAGCTTTAAGCAGCCAAAAATTTTTTATTCTCGATATTTTTGACCAACTAGTTGAATTTTACTAAAACAATTATTACTCTCGCCCTCATGGCCTCTGAGTCAAAAGCTATCAGGCCTTCGGCCTCATGGGCTAGACTCAGAGCCCATTCGGGCTCGAGGAATAATTTTATTGTTAAATACCCAATACAGGACCTCACCTCTCTTGATTTCAATATATTGAGTGGAAGGCATCTGATTTCTCACCTCCTCCCAACACAGCCCAGTCCCCTAATACTCTGCCCCAGGTTACACTCACTACATTGGAAACCAAAGATGGCTGCTTGTTACAGTGAGGATTTGATTTTGAGGATTTTCTGGTAAAATAAGGAACTATGAAACCATCTAGTGCTTTGCTTGGTTGAAAATTATTGGGTAATTATTTACCTACCTAATTCTTGGATTTCTCATTTGCCGTTCATGAATTATTAAACGTGTGGCTGCAGTAGGGTCAGGGGGAGGTGGGGATGGTGACCTGTTAAAACTCACTTCTCGGATATCACTTGTTGAGCTGTCAATATCTTCAACAGACTTATCTTCTCTTATGCATCTATGAATAGACCCAGTTTTATAACATTAATAAACAGAAACAAAACAAGGATCTATTCAGGTACTCACAAAATAATAGAATCAAGCTAATAATGAAATACAAAGGTGTGACAATTATTGTCACACCTTTGTATTTCAATTCAACATTGTTTGTACAACATGTTATCATTTTATAACCACTACTACCAGAATCATTGCTTTCTTTTGCAAAGGAAAGCTCAGCTACCTGTACTGCTATTTAAAACTTACAGGGTTAATTTACTAAATCTGAATGAAAAAGAAGTTGGAATAAAACATTGTCATCAGAGAATCTTTTAATTACGATCAAATAACAACAACAGAAAATGCAGAGAACAATAGGCACCTTTACAAAACAAACTAATGCACCAAACGTGACGAAAAACGAAAACATAGAAAGAAAGGGAAAGTGCCCTTGACATTGAAGGTAACATGAAAAGTAGTTACTTCATGTGGTACTGTCAAATCCAAAAGCTCTTTGCACTTAATTTAAAGTTACGCTTTAACGCACATCGTATTTGCTGAGCCCACTTAAGTCAGACTGTGAGTGTAGACTTTAAAGGAGCTTACATTAGATCATCTTCTCCATCGCTATCACTCTCCCGTGTTTCAGCCATTTCTTTTGCCTCATGTTGTTCTGCCTGCACTCTTTGAAAGGCTTCGTCGTTATCTTCGGACTCGGAGCTGTCGGAATCAACTTTTACCTTCTTCCCACGAAATGACAACGGAATTTGTCCCCGATAAGAAAATATGTTATCGCGATTTGGTCGTTTCTTTAGTTTACGCCTCGGAGGGTGCTTTTCAGGTTCTGCAGTCTGATCTTCGTTATCAGACATTGTTAAACGCTGCTTGTAGTTCAACTATTCTGTTACTAGAAATATTTTAACTCAAAAACCGCGCGAAAACAACTACCTTGAGTGTCCATTTTGGGCTAAGCCTGAGTAACCGCGCAAAGTACTTGGTAACCAAACCACTGAGAACAAAAGTTTACTTCAACGTACGTGAATCACACCAGTGTCACTCGTTGTAGAGATTTCCTTTCTTTGCAAAAGTATAATCCAAGAAAGGTAAGTCAGTCATCCGTTTGATTTTTTTTTTCAGGAGGGGATGGATCAAACCTGCCCTTGTGATAAGGTTTTCCCTAGGTTTAGTTTTCACAAACCATGTGTGTCACGCATTCAGCTCATTCAGCTGTGTAGTTTATATTAAAGCTTATATACAATCACTCGATCAGTTTTCAGACACAATATACCATGCTCTCTACTTGGAGTTAATACTTGATAATTGAAGGGTGAGTGGGCGCCCTAGACCTCTCCGATTTCCTGACACTGATCAATATTGTATTTGCTTTATATAGAGTACTAAAGTGTGACGTCATAAAAATGAAATTTCTGAAATTATGGGATTTGTCAGGATATTCTGAAAGAACAATGTCCAAGAGGCCTACTTGCCAAAAATGAGCATGTGGGGGCAAATTGTCTCTGAGATCGTAGCCCAGTTATGCTTACAAAACTCCATACAAACCCTTCTAAAATTTTTTTGGGTCGACCCAAATAACATTTTCTACAAGAGATTCAGTTATGTCCTTCAAGCTTGCACCGTCTTTCTTGTGCAAGTTTTTTCATCATGTGGATGTCAACCCTCAACGATCCTCAGACATCCTCCCTCCCCCCACCTGTGAAGTAAAACAAGGCATGGACAGAGACTACAGCACTGTAAAGATATCATACAGCATGCAGAAACTAAGAAAATTCAAGGAAATGTCAAAAAATGCTTGAATACCATTTCAGCTCACATACACATTAAAGTTATCAATAATTTTCAGATTTTTTGCATAATTTATCATTTTTAGATTTCCAATGATCATTTCCTTTCATGTTGATCATGAGTTTCAGTTTTTTGTATGTATCATTAATTTGAAGATTTTTTGTAATTATCTCATTTCATGTAGATCGTAAATGAGTATATGAAGAGCCCTGTCTGAGAATACTTTTTATTATTTATTTACGCAGAGCCAGCCATATACTGTAATAGGCCATCATAAAGGTGATTTCAGTTAATGTGTGTTCTTAATTGCCTACTTGTTTTCAGGTTCATCACACCAACTATGGTTGACTGCATCAAGTTAGGCCGTTTTTTGGTCTGTGTTGTTGGCATTGCTTTGTCAGGTTATGCTCTTCACGTTGAATTATCCCATGCGCGCAATAAAGAGTATAAAGCCCTTTGTGACATTAATGAACACATGAGCTGTTCAAAGGTATTTTCATCAAAGTAAGTAAAATCAACGTTATAAAACTCAATTGGATTCTAAAGATGACGCCATACAGTATCTCCGAATGTCTAGCCTGTGTGGCTGGTGTTAAAAGGGGAAGGGGAAGGGGGAATTTTGGCGTGCGAGGCAGAAAGGAAAGGAAGTTCCCCTCCTCCCTCTCCCTCGCGCGTGGTCTCGCGCCCTAATTCCCTTCCCCTTTCCTTTCGAATGCCTGCCACGCAGGCTATGGAAAGTCAGTCACTGTCAACAACAGTCCTATTCAGGACTACAATCACCTGGATGATCATATTCCACCTACTCATAAGTGACTCTTTGTAAACCATGATAGCTATTCTCCACCTTTCCAGAGTTAATCTTACGTAATAAATAAGGACATATCACTTCCATTGTTTATTTAAGAGACACTAACATCTGGGATCATCAAATGCCAAAATACTGTGTTGAAAGTAGAACTTAACACATTATTAATAGCTTTTGCCCTGTCAATAGACCCTTCTTTTTTTTTTTTAAGTTTTGATAGGAATAACTTGGCGAAAATCTGTCCACACTTCTGAAAAGAGTACCTTAGTATTTATAACTTGCCAAGTTTGAAAGTAATACATAAATAAAGCAAGTGAAGGTATAGCTCTGCAAAGTCTGTTGCTAAAACTTCGCAACTTCATGGAGCTATATTTTATCTTCATTCTTTTTCAACATATCACTCTAAGACTTGGCAATTGGACGATTTTCAGGCTCTCTTTTCAGTGGTGTTGATTAATTTTAATAAGTGAAATTGTGTCAAAAGTCAGGAAAACCATACGGCCAAATTTTCTATGTATGCCCAACTATGGCCTTGTTAAGGGAATTCCACACCGTCAGTACTGCAATATGACAAATAATAATTATTCAGGATATAATTATGGTATTTTGATTTTATCATTATTACTGATTGGAATAAACAACCTTATGAAACATTGTTCAAATCTGCAATGTGTGGCTGCCAGTGCGTATTGAGATGTAAGGACTAGCATGTGTTGGCTGTGTGTGAAAAGTGCATGTATGGATAGTTCATTGTATAAAAGACAGTTGGCTGTACAAATGTGGGATGTCTTGTAATTTTTTTTTCTTAAAAAGTTTCTACTTTTGTTCTTCACCAGGTATGGCACTGGCTTTGGTCTAGTTGAGCCGCTGCTTGGAAAAAAGTCTCTTCTCAATGTGCCTAACAGTATTTTTGGAATTGCTTTCTACTCCTTGATTATGTTACTAGGTAAGAAGTGCAAAAGATAGATTGCACTTTTCACTGGTAAATCACCTTCCAGTAGCCTTTTATATGTTAACAAAACCATTTCATTTCATTTCATTTCATGATTCATTCCATATATTTCAAATTAAAGCCATTTACATTGTCCAGTGGTTGACAGTTTCTCATTTTTTTTGTAAAGCTCTGGTCCATTGAGAAAAAGTCACAGATTTGAAACCTTGCCAAAAACTATAGTTGTAGCATCCAAGCAGTGTTTCTAATGAGACTAAAATAATGCAACATATTCAGGTAATTGTGTCATCTTGTGATGAGTTCAAACCTTACCATTAGCCATACCTCCTTTTCCTTTTTTTATCTATTCAAAAAGGGAGCAACAAAAATCCTGCAATTCTGTTTGTAAAAACCCTGCTTGTGTCATCTATCTTTTACTTGGTGGGTTTTGTGGCTTGGGTTTGGATTCATAACTCTGGGGTCAATTCAATAAAACTTTTACAAGTGTAGCCATTGTTTTTAGACCCTAAAACAATGATTACACTTGTAAAGTACACTTGTAAAAGTCTTATTAAATTGACCCCTGTATTTGAACCATGTGTCACACTGACCCTCCTGGCAAATACTTATTGCAAACAAAACAAACAAACAAACAGTTTGTGAAGTGTTTTTTTTGTTTAGTTACTTAAGAAAATTTTCCTCCATTTCACCATCTCAATACAATCCTCCTGACGATCGTAGCTGAAAGTAAATTAGTACACAGCTTGTCCTTTGCGTATGCAAGGAGCTCTCATGTATTGCTTGCCCAGGGCGACCTCTTGCTCATGATTTTGTCAGAGGATGACTTCCCTGGACCCTTGCCCATTGGGCAAGTGAGCTTTAAAAGCTTCTCACCCAGCAAGACTTTCTACTCATCCTGCACTACTGGATGGGACTTTTTTGGATCCCTGCATATTGTTTTTAAGTTGGTGAACATTGCTACCAGTAAATCTATCAGGGGCACCCAATGTCAATTTTCAGAAAAATAATCTGTTGGGAGGATGATTTCAGATCTAGAAATTTTAGAACATTTATTGTAAAATTTCTTGCTTGCCTACCGCTTCTAGGATTTTCGAACATCTAAAAAATGGTATAATTGCCCATTTTTGACGGTTTTTTACCCTAAAAAGGTCACCTAAAATTTTGGGGAGCCTTTTTTCTGGCTAAAATTTCAGCGTGAAGAGGTAAGTTATGATCCCTATAATTTTCGGATCACTAGACTTTCAGCTAGGAAATCCGAACAGATGAAAATTTTTAGGGATAAAAATATGCCTATGTCTACCGTTTAAATACTAAAATACGATGAATATTGCTATGTTTAAGTGGTTTTGAACTATTTTATCATTGGGTGCCCCTGATCTATCTTTTATTGTGAGATTGATTTACTGGTCTATTAATTACAATGTGATTGATTCCTCTCAGGTGTATCCAGTGGTAAATTTGCGGCATGGTTGATGTTCCTGTTTTCTCTGTTATCGTGTGTTGGCTCCATTTACCTGGGTTATATCTTGTTTTATATCTTGCATGACACTTGTGTTGTTTGTATCTCAATGTATGTTGTCAATGCTTTCTTGTTAATAATTAACTTACTAAACCTAAAACAGGTGCTTGCAGCAGCTGCTGTCAAGAAGAAAAAGGAATAACGTAAATTTTGCGCTTGGCAAAGGCTTCCTATTGCTGTTGGTTTTTTCCCTGCTAGCAGTTGGTTTTCCAAATCCTAAATAAAGCTATGGTCAAATAGTTGCAACATTGTCAGCGTTCTTAAGATCTGATGCTGAGGATGTCTGCAATATTTTTTTATAATAGTAAAGCAGAACACTTTTAACTTGTTTTACAACTTTGTCTCAACGTTTCTGTTGTTTTCAAAATGTTGCAGCTATTTGACCCACTTTGTTGAGCTCACACCCTGACCCATACAGATCTACTCCTCATATTTTATCTATAATATATTTTGAAATTACTTTAATAAAAATATTGACTATAATCATAGGTATTAAAGATGATGTTGTGTCAGAATAGCCTGAGGTGGCATGAGCTGAGCCATGTTTTAATAATGTAACTAATGTTTTAATAAGAGTTGATATTAAAATGCTACTATTACATCAAGAATTGTTCTCTCAATGCCATTTGTGTTGTAAATATGGTCCATCTGGGATGTCCGTCGCACAGTTGTTAAATTATCCAGTCATCACAGAAAAAACATTATGCAGTTGCATACACCTAATGTTAGGTCCCAGGGGTAATTTTTTTTTTCTTGCCGTGAGTCCTGATGTTTCCCTCGACTTGTCTCAGGAAACATCAAGACTCAAGGAAAACAAAACTAACTAGTTTCCCAAGGGACCTGATATCAAGTGTTTTGTTATATTCTTGGACTTTCAGTTCAGCATTAACAAAGAATGAAGAGTAAATGGTACACAAAACCGCTGAATGTATGATTTACAAAGTACTTTCCTTGTATTATTTGCATCTTTTTCCTTTACTAGCTGCTGTATCTCTCCTTGGATAGCTCTGAAAATACATGTTTGTGTTGTTGTGTTCATTCGCCGATCATGAACTTTAATTTTTCACCAGTTTGACACTTGAAGTAACTTAAAAGGGATTGAGTAGGGATTCAGAGGCAAAAACATCTAGGAGCCACATGACCACAGCAACAAAAATTTTTGTTGATTTGGGTCAGATTTTGCGGGTCTTTCTGCAAGTACCATCATCACGAAAGAATGATAGGAACCAAACAATAGGGTTCTCCTGGGGCTTTATAGTTTGGTTGTATTGTTTCTTTTGTTGCACATAATTTGTGCCTAAGTACCTACAGAAGGAACCGATTTCTTGTGGACCTGGATCGTCAGTGTACATAGCTTGGATACAAAATGTATAAACAGCAGACTGATCCAGACAAAGCTAAAAGTAATCATAAAGAAGTAAGCAAAATATGTTTTAAAAAAATGATATTTGGCCAGTTTTGTTTAAATACCTTATATTTTAAGGGTTTAATTTTTATTGTTTGTCTCACGATTGTCACTTTGATATTGATCGCGACAATTTGACCACACACTGCAGGTCTTCATCAGGCGACAGTGTCAATGTACTGAGCAGGACTGTTTGTACCACCGTGGTTGTTAGTGATTGGTGTACCACAAACGTCGCCTGTGGTTGGTGGGTTTCGATCCATGACAACCAATCTCTACCACAGCGGACCACTGAGGGATCAGTTTCTTCCTTTCACAATACCAACAATGCTTTGGATCAAAACCCACCAACCCAGAGCGAGGTTTGTAATACACCAATCACTTACAACCACGGTGCTACAAATAGTAGGGGTGGCAAATGGTAAAATCCGAGACTCGCCGAGACGCTGAGATCCTAGTTAGAAATCCGAACCTGAGACTCTTTGGTAAAAAATTTCGAGACTCAAAAAAAGTAAAAACAAACCATGCAAAAACAAAACTTCGAGACCTATCAAAAACGCTTCCGAGATTTCGAGATCCTGCCTAAATTTTCCAACACCCACGTTTTTCAAGGTACCATTCGCCACCCCTAATAGTCCGACTCAGTAAATGGACACTATTGCCTGACCTGCAGCGTGCAGTCCAAACGTTGCGATCAATATTAAAGTGACAATTGTGAGACAAACGGCAAACCCCTTTTCACACATTCTCCATGATGATTAATATCTTTCATGACACCTTATATTAATTTTATTATGTATTTCTTCTCTCACTTTAATATTGTAATAAAGAGTTAGCTCTTTTACCCTTTATTCTTCCTCGTTTATCATTACTAACTGTAACACTTTATTTGCTATTTTTTCTCAAAAAGGATAAATTTAGAATGATGTATGTGACGTCACGCAACAATGTTCCCCTTTCAAAAACAAGTGTTGTGTGCACCAAAACAGCACATCTTTAATGACAGGACGTCTTTAATGCTAAAGCCTTGTATCAGGGGAATCATCCGAAACACGGATGTTTGTATATCGAGCAACAGAGTTTCAGGGGTTTTCCCTCACTGCTCTTGTTTTTCCGGTTGCATTCTGATTGGTTATTAGTTACGTCATTTGTTACTATTTTTATCCCGCTTTGCACCTTTCGTATAAAAATGACGAACGTGAGGGCTTGGTAACCGCGCGGAGTTCCTGCCATCTCCGGAGCCAAGGAGTATGTTACTCCGCAAACTTGTAAATATGTGTTAGTTTTGCAAAAACCGGCGAGGAAGTAAGAGATATGGCAACGGGAAAACGTACTTACAAAATTAAGGACAAAAACTACGAGGTTAAGTTCGAGTTAGACACTCGTTATAAGCTGCTAGAGAACATAGGAAATGGAGCGTACGGAGTTGTTTGCTCCGCCATTGATACGGAGAACGACAGCAAAGTTGCTATAAAGAAAATCCCTCGAACTTTTGACGTGGTTACTACAGCGAAACGTACGTACAGAGAGCTCAAGATCTTGAAACATTTCAAGCACGATAATATCATCTCCATTAAGAATATTTTGAAGCCTCCTGAAGATTTGGAGCAGTTTAACGATGTCTATGTGGTCCTGGATTTGATGGAAACTGACTTACACCACATCATTCATTCACAACAGCCCCTCACTGAAGAACATGCTAGGTATTTTCTGTATCAAATCCTTCGAGGATTAAAGTACATTCATTCCGCGAACGTCCTACATCGGGATCTCAAACCGAGCAATCTGCTGGTGAACGAGGATTGCGAGTTGAAAATCGGTGATTTTGGAATGGCTCGCGGTCTTTCAAGCTCCCCGTCGGAGCAAAAGAGGGTAATGACAGAGTATGTAGCTACCAGATGGTACAGAGCACCAGAGTTAATGCTTTCGTTGAATGAATACTCCGAAGCAATTGATATGTGGTCTGTGGGTTGTATTTTTGCTGAAATGCTTGGAAGGAAACATTTATTCCCTGGAACTAACTATTTAAATCAGTTACAGGTAAGCATGCTTAAACAAAATAGTTCAGTTCTTTGCAAAGGTGTCGCTTCGGGTGTCAACGGTGTGATTTTAGTATATCGCACTTTGCTAGTTTTCCTCTGTCCTGTCGATTAGGTTTGATAGTTTTACCAAGTATATGAAATGACACGCCAAAATCAGGGTCTCCTTTGCAGCTGTTGTTTGTGTTGTCATGCAACGCTGGGGCAGAGCATTGTGTAATGCCAGCCTGTTTAGGTGACTAAGAGTTCATCAGAGGCATGGACAGCCAAGGGAAGTTGTGGACCATGCACCTCCCATCCAGAAAGGCATCAAAAATAAAGTCTGACCTTGTAACAACTCGGTTGGCCTGGGTTACTATTCAGCGGTTGTAAGTAAAGTTACTCCCCCTTTACTCAGTTTGTGCAACCATTTTGTATCCTTGTTTAGCTTATTCTCAGTGTAGTTGGTACTCCATCAGAGGAATTCATCAAGCGTATGGGTGCAGAGCGAGTAAAGACCTACCTAAGGAGATTACCACAGAAGCAGCCTGTTCCACTTGAAAAACTTTATCCCAAGGATATGTGTCATCCAGACGCACTGGACCTCTTGGGGAAAATGTTAAAACTGGATCCAAAAGAACGCATCTCAGTGGGTGAAGCTTTATCTCACAAGTACTTAGAAAAATACCACGATATTGACGATGAACCTTTGTGTTTTCCACCTTTTGAATTTGACTTTGAGGACATTCCTTTCACGAAAGATGACCTAAAGGCAAGGATTCTGAAAGAAATTGAACAGTTTCACAAAGATAGGGTGTTGATTCTTTCTCCTGTGAATAGCTCTCCAAAAGAATTGCAGTCATGTCAAGTGTCATCAACCCTGTTAAACTTTAGTAGAGGAAAAGACAAAACCACTTCAAAGAAAGGTATTGATCTTGCTCCTCCTGTCTTGGGTCATACTGAATTAATAGCTGTTAAGTCATAGAGGAAATCCTAATTTTTTATCATGGAAATTAGTAATGGCACCAATGCACGTTCAGAATTCGCTGGATAAAATTTTGGAGTGTGCTGATTTAAATGCTCTTCCAAAGTTTTCAACAGTCTCTTTAACAAGGATATTCTTTTCATAATTCTGTCTCTTGATTCTGAATGGTAAAAAAATTAGCATTACTGATAGTCTGAAGTGCTGTAACTCTGTTAAAATGTAACTCAATGCCATATAAGGTTCAGGTATCAGTCATTTCGATACAAAGGCGTTTTGATACAAGCTGATTCGGTTGAGATGTAAACAGTTTCATTTACTTGGCTTAAAGAACAGGAAATGTTCACCCCAAATGTTTTTCTTGTTCAAGCGCTAACTGTTCTCTAACTGATCGAAAATTTTGTTCAGTTTCTTCACCGCTTGAGTTCGTATCCAAATGACTTGTATTGAAATAACTGGTTTCCATATTAATATTTCAGTATCATCATTAGCCCTGGCAGATGTTCGACAGAAAATGGAACAGACCTTAAAAAGAAAGAAAGACAAAGCAGAAAACAAGGCTAAAAAGTCTAAAGTAGCCAGGAGACAATCAGAAAATAAAGAAACAGAATCAAACAAGGGTACAGGTCTAAGCGACAGTGATAAGCAAATGTTACAAAGATGGGAAAACATGAGAAAGCAAACCAAGCCATTTATTCATCCCATAAGAAAATACATGAAGGAGCTCAATGACTTGAAGGAAGAGATGTTAGGTAGTGACTTGACAGCATCACAGCCACTTCAACCTCAACATCTAGTGGGAAGTCAAACTCAGCAACAGTTTCAGTTTACCCAGTTTGTACCACAGAACCAGAATGGAAACGTGACAGGACTAAAGGCTGTTAAAGTACCAACTCAGACAATGCCAAATGTGACCCAGACGTTACAGGGAGGATGTGTAATTGCACAGACAGGTATGTCTACCAAGAATTAGAATTGAAAAATAGTGATATCATGTTACCATGGTGGCAAGATTACTAGATCTCAACAATCTTTCTTGACAGAGACGACCATTTGCATTGTCAAAGGGTGGAAGAAAAGTATGGGTTACCATTTTGTTCCCAAGTACAATCATGAACAAGAAAGTCAAACGTGTCAAATTTTTGGTTTAATAATTCTGCCATATTTGCAGGACCTTGGTTTTTGCTACCACGGCCAACATGATGTAAGAACTTTTCCTCTCTATGAGATGAATATCAGTTACACAGAGTGAAAAGGATGTGAACTGCAGAAATACAAATCTAAATGAATAATTTGAATTTGTATTTCCACAGTTCACATCATCTTCCTTCTGTGCTTCATTCCTTTCATGGATTAAGGTGAATGCAATGAATTCGCCTGCCCGCAATGTATGGGTCTCTGTAGCTCAGTTGGTAGAGCACACTGCAGAGCTAACATAGAGGCCATACTTTTGAATCCTGTTGAAGCTCCAAAATTTTTTTAGGCTTAATTTTGCAGTTGCTTAAATTGTGATTGCAACTGGGGCAGTCATTTCTTTATTTAGGATATCTGTTACAGTTTATAAACTTGTGCTAAATTTTTGTGCCAAAAACTAAAATGACCACCATTGAATGGAATGAAATTTAAACATGTTGTAATCCTGTTATTCAGTTGCAGGAAAACTTGTTCCTCTGGCTCCAAACCAACTTTTATCACTGCCCCAGTCTTTGGTGGCAAATTTGCCTGTTTCTGTGGTAACAGGACAGATTACTGCTGCTTCTCAAGCTTCCACATCTCATGTTACTGTTTCTCAGAGTACAAGTAGTGCTGGGTCCCAGGTAAAAGTAGCTAATGTCAACATCACTGCAGGAAATTCTGGTGTAGTTCCACTTACATTGGCTAACAGAACTGTAAATATAAATGCCAAGGATGTTGCCTCTGTTAATGCCGGTGCCATAACAACCCAAATGACACATTGTGCTGCTGTTTCTACATTGCCATTACTAACAAGTTTTGCAAATTCTGGTCTGTCATCTTTAAAAGACACAAGTTTACCTACTGTTGTTCCAGTAACTACATCACAAACCCCTTCTAACAACACACAAGCAATGCCTTCTGTTTCTTTCACTATGCAAAGTACAATTCCTTCCGTTTCAATTCATAAGAACATCATAGTTACAGCTCCAACTGGCAGTAAACCAGTTAGTAATTTCATTGACTCTACAGTGAATTTGATGATGCCTCCTCAAGGAGCCTTGTCTGTCAACACTGTCGCAAATGCTGTCAGTGCTGGAAAACACCAGTTAACAAATGCCTCAACATCATTGTCATCGAATTCAGTGCAAAGTTCAACTTCAACAAACTTTATGAATGTACCATCAAACATGCCACTCCCTCCATCCACTGTAAGTACTTCATCACTAGCAACACCATCAGTAAATTTGTCTACCCAAGTTTTACCATCATCAAGCAGCTACTCTCCTCCCAGCACAAGCGTGAGAGATAATATTCCATGGAGTACAATCTTCCAAACTTCAGGAAATGCTAGTAGAATGTCCTCACAGACACACACTGCTCAATCATCATCCGTGCGATCAACAGATGTTCAGTTCAGCCAAACTTCAGTTACAGACACTACTTCAGCACCTTCTCCTTGCCCATCTCTTTCTTTGATAGACTCAACGGTTACATCATCTGCTCCAGTGGACACAAGTTTGGATATATGTGCCATGGCTGACAACAGCACCGCACCTTCACTCATGAGTCCACAAAGCCTTCAGTCAATTCTTCAGTCCATGCTTAGTCAAACTGACATTCAGCTCCTTTGGAACACAATGCTGAGCTCGCCAATGATGGCCTCGCCCATCTTCAAACAGGCTGACACATCAAACAGCTCCGCTACAACAACATGTACAGCAACCGATTCCCAACCCAAACTATCTCCTGTTAAAATTGGGACAGAACAGTTCACAACACAGCCAAGCAATGGCAATGTGGAGGATGCTGGGGTATCACAGCAAACTAGCGTTATTCCTGAGAATATCCACGATGCATTGAGCGATCTAAATGTACAGGAAGTCCAAGAGGAAGCTGGGTTAGCAGAGGAAGTGATTTTCTCAAGCAAATTATCCTCCTACGCAAAAGCAACTGGCAGTGGGTATGGTATAGGACGATTCAACATCAATGAACTTCTCAATGATGCTGGCATAATTCAGGATCCTTTAAACCTGTGAGTACCGGTTTTTTGTACAGGTTCTTATTTATATCGCCGCTTTTGCATGTGGGGAAGATTAAGAGAAATCCTGTGTACTGATATACATCGTAACAAAATATTTCTCTTGTTGCAGGAGCGTAGAGTCCATATACGCACGTACGCCCGTACGTACATGTACAGCTGCAATATGGAAAAAAAATTATTTTCTAAAATCCTTTTTTATCATTAAATCGGGATAACTGATACATTTTTGTTTGCCCCATATTGGTGTCTTTGTGTCGGTATTTCCTTTAGCCTCTAATTATTCCCATGATAATTCTGATGGCGTCGCTGGCCTTTTTTGCCGGTAAACACCGTACCTTACAGTCAACACTAGGATGAGTAGAATAAACAATTAGCTACTGCATTTTCCTGGGTATTAATTTACGGAAAATATCCTGCGGAAAACGCTGCAAATTGCGAGCTCTCTCCTACACAGAGGCTCCCACTGGGTATTACATAAGGGAGCTTAAGCAACGACGACGGCATCGAGAACGGTAAAAAAGCAATTGGTTTAGATTGGCAAAACAATAGCTTTGCACGTGCATCACGCTTATTTCTTTGTTGCACGACTACAATGTGAAAGTGCCAAATTTCACGTTTTGTGGAGGACGTGAACACAGGACAACGACTTTCTTTTTATTTTCCTGAACTTTGATACAGTCTTTTAGAATTCAACTCCAAAAAAACGGGCCAACATTTGACGAATTGAACGAGTTGGAATAAGCGCAATAAAGTTTGAAGAAGCACGAATTCACTTTTTAAGTGACGTTTTCGTAGCCGTTGCAGAGGAGAGAGGTGAAATAGCGAGTGAGCGAAAAACGGCCGGAACAGAGAAGGGGGGAGCTTGTAAGCATCTTGTTAACCCTTTGGCCCTAAGATCAAAATTTGAATTCTCATTTGTTGCCCCTATTCATTTCCTACAGAAGTAGTAGGGAGAAGTTGACAAATTATATCAGGTACACAGATTATCAAGCAAATTCGTCTTGTGTGATCATGTCCGTAATTCTCATGACCACTCTGTTTTACAATGCATTGATATTACAAGGAGAAATTTGATGCTGATCACTCTTAGGGCTTAAAGGGTTAAATACCTCAATCCACCCACTTCCCCAACTTCCTAAAAACCGTTTCTCGTGTCAATATGTAGCCTGGAAAGGCTAGGCCCAATGTAAGGAGTGAAATCGGGGTGATGAATATTTCTCGTACTTGTTTCAGATCTAGTCCTTATAAAGATGCATGCCTGACCCTTCCCGCAAGCTTACCAAACAGTCCATCACTATCAGCCTCACTGTTATCTGATTGGTTAGATGGCAAGGACATGCTTCCAACAGACATGGATGAGATACAGAAAGAGCTGGAGTCAAACTCCGTACTGGCTCTCTTCCAGGAGATGGATGATACATAGTGCATTTTATGTGCTGGAAGAGATCTTTACGAGGGGCCCTCTTTTTTCTTACGGAAAGACAAATATTGGCTGGCGGGACTGGCCATTTTGAAATTAAAATAAGTCAAAGAAGATTCCATCAGAGTCGATGTGTTAGCAGTAGATCCGATGGACTCCACTGGACGACTTTTCAACCCTCCTCAGGGTATTGTTTACACTTCCGGTTTCATCTTATGTCTGGACTTCCGCTTCTGACTCCGATGGATTCCACTTGACAATTTTTTAACCCTCCACAAGGTTAAATTGTACTTCCGGAGTCATTTCATGGCAAGACTTCTAGTTACTCCATTGGACTCCAGTTTTTGTCCAGTTGAATCCAGTTGAGAGTATTGGACATGGCTGGATTTTTGCGCTGAGCGCACTATTTAGAATTAGACTGACCTGGCTGGGCAGACCTGGTCTGGCCCGCGGGTTGTTCTGGCTAATGGGAAGCTCCCTTGATCCAACAAGTAAATCGCGCGCTAGAAAATGAGGCCACTCGCACCACTGGAGGCGCGAGACGAGAAGAGTGCCCGTGCCTCTTCGCTGCTCAATAAAATTTGAAGAAAGGTATAATCTCGAAGAGAGAAATACTCTGTGATTCTAGTTTTAATTTCCAAGTCTGGATAAAATCCAGCAGTGGATGCAAATGTACATGTATGACGAAGTAAAGTGAATAATTTGTACTTACTTTCTCATGGTACTTTGGATTTTGTTTTAACTTGTTTTCTTCTGTTTGTTTAACTTGAGAGTTAAAGTTAACCTTTTTCGTCTGTTGACCTGAGCCAAAACAAAACGTGTCCAACTCGGCAGCCTCACGATTTACTGAACAATTGTTCTTCTTACCTTCTCAAACTACCTTGATAGTAGCTTAGATGCCTAACGACTTAAATTTCTGAATTTCCCAACAACACCATTATAAGTGTTTCATATGGCATCTAGACACTTCGAAGTCTATTAGTATTCGGCGGAAGAGTTTAACACGCAGAGTTTATCAACCGAGTTCAAAGTATATAAGCCACCGTGAAGAGCGTCAAAAACGGCTAAATTGAGCTAAAGGCCTTCGCTCCAAGTCGGCTTTGATGGGCCTGATCAGTACCCTGGGTGCCAGAGACTTTTCTAGCGCGCTTTCCGGTTTCTGTCAAGTCTTTATAGGACCCGCTCGAGAAGCCTCGAAGTTTTTTCTCACGGCTTCGGCCTACGGCCGAAGATGTGCCAGCCTTCGGACCAACACCGAAAATTCCCGCCGCACCCGAGAAAAACCTCTGGTAACCAGGGTACCTGATCAGCGGTTATAGAGCTGAATCCGCTCTAGTGAAGAAAAAGCGCTCGAAACGATGGCGTTCTGACGTTTTTACAGTGGTTCAGTTAACGTTTTTTTATCATAAAGACCAAAACTCGGCTGGTCTTAGCATCTCCCATTCACTTCTTGGTGATTAATATATCATGTCATATCATATATCATTTATCATGTTTGATAAATTATTGGATTCCGAGAAGGAAAGGTGCTGTTTGCAGTCAAGCATGCGTAAGATGCTCTGGCTCAAAAAGCCTTCTTTCACAAGGGTGATCCAAAGAAAAGTAAATTTTTGTTTTAAACAGAAGACTCTTTTAATTTTCAAAACAAAATGTATTGCTTGATATATGTAAATACATATTTTGTACAAAAAGTATAATACAACAAATCATTTTCTAGGGGCTGTGTTTTCTTTCTTCTTTTTCTTCGGCCTCGCCATGGGAAGGGCTGGAAGCTTAAATCTTGTCCTGCAACAGAGTTTTTTGCGAAAATTAGAGGTGAACTTCGTCTGACTCACTGAGAACCGAACATTTACTTATATGCTACCATACTAAAAGCCAAAAGCTAGGCGAACGCTGAAGAGAGGTTGACCAGATGCAATGTAAACGTTTATGTTCTTTCTCCATTTTGATCATGTTTGATTCCATTCTCGGTAGATAACTCCCTGATTAGAGATTAGGATACGAAAGGTCCGGGTTCGAGCCTGGGTTGTTATTTTCTTCCTTCTTAAGAGAAACAGCTTCAATAACAGGTCAAAAATTTTCTACGTGTCTTAAAAATGGCAGCAACCGTTTACGAAAGGGACAACTCCCCCCATACGCCGCCACTTGAAAACCTATCAACAGGCTTTCAGTTCTGCCTGGGCCAAACGTCGAACTTTTCGTGAGACGAACCAAACTCTAATTTAGATCGAACTTAGGACGCGTCGAACCAATCAACTGAATCAGACCAAAAAGCAATTTTAGCCGAACGAGGTTAAATATACATTATCATACAAATTTCGTTTGGAAAAGAATTCCTAGATATACTTACTGGCAAGTTAGACATAGTGGAATAAACTGACAATAAACTGAAAAAAAAAGAAGATAGAATTGAAAGTCAAATTACCGGTGGATGATAGACTAACAAAATCCATAATTTTCTGTGGCAACTAGTACTTTTACGGTAAAGACCATAACTTTGTGCATGTAAATCCTGATATTTCAGATGGTAACAGATTTGGATTTGTCAAAACGGGGCGCCCCTTTTTTTTCTCTTACTAGATTTTGGCGGACTCCTTTTTCCTCCTCGATTAAGAAGAAGACAACAGACGGCGGCTCTACTAGCTGGGTGGCAACGGGGTTAATTGTCACGGGATTCTACCACAGGCAGTATCTTTGCAAGTTGACGTCCAGACAGTATTAAAGGAAGCGAAAGAATACTCCTCCCTCTTTATGTTTTTTCGATAACACTAAAACGTTTCTCCTTACTTGATAAACACACGGAACACACAAATCCAATATCGACGAGTCTTCTGTGGCAGAAACATGCCGCTCTGTAGTCAATGTGCACGGACGTGGGAAGAACAAGTTGTTCACGGACAGTAGGCTCAGGAAGAAACACCCACTACAATTTGGTCAAAAGAGTCAAATTAGCGGACTCAGGGGGGGGTAAGCTACTTCCCATACATTCTCTTAAATGAAATCCAAACGATGTTCTCACAACTTGCAAAGCGATCAGCAAAGGTCTTGCCAGCGGATTTGTGTAGTGATCATGCGCATTACGTCAAAATCTATAGATCAACGGTCTTGAGAAGAAACAAAAACATGGCGATCGAAGGCGGGACTGTTTCTCACGATTATATTTTGGTAATTCGCAAATTTATTGATTTTATGTCGCTTTTCAGACATAGTGGGTAGTTTTCTTTTTCTGTTAAACAATTTCCCTCTGCAGAGTTTGGAATATGCAACATATAGCTCGATCCGTACAGCTGATAAGAACCGCCGAAGAGCTAGAGTTGAGCTATCAAGCAGTGTTTTGCTGCAAACCTTAGGAAAGTTAAAGTCGCTTCAAGGTACAGAGCTTTCAGTAGTAGTTGTGATTTGTTTATTAGGATCGTTTTGAATTTTAACTTTGGATTCAAGGTGTTGACTGATCGTAATAAACGAAGTGAAATGTTATGAAGTGTGAATGTTTATTCAGTTATGATTGTAGAGCTGTAAGCTCATATTTATAAAGCTCTCTGAATTACTTGCTTCCGATAAATTTGACACTTTCTCCAGTAATTTTTATCAGCATCAAGTTATCCTTACCCGGCAAAAACGATGTAACCTATAAATCGATCGAGCGCATTGTTGTTGGTTAAGATCTAACACGGTTTCCCCCGCAATTTCAGTACCGAAAGACAAATACGATATGAAAGAAAAACAAAGATGCATGATATTATTTTTTTCAATTTTTATTTTTTCAGTAAGCATTTCTGATTTCCTCTGCCGGTCGCTTCTTGCTTCTAAAAAGTCTAAAAATATTTACTGTGGGAAAAGTACTCCAATTTTCCGCTGACCACCACGCGGGGTGACCACTTTGCAAGTTGTGAGAACATCGTTTCTCGGTCCCAGACCTCGTCTCTTCCCCCCCCCTGAGCGGACTTAATACAAGATATCCCGCTGGTTTTCTTAGTAGCCAGTTTTACTGATACGATTTACCCGTGACCAGAAGATGAAGAGACAGCTAGGCTTTCCATATTACGCCGACAACCAGAAATAAAGGCTGGTTTTTACTAGCAGATACGTAAGAATGTTTATGACCCAGTGAGTCGGAAGAATCAGAACGTTTCCATTTTCATCCGACTCCGTTTATGACTCTGTTGCTTACGATCGAGTGAGAACCAGATTGTCAGAGTCGGAAGCAGTCGGAACGGGATAAACCAATCACAATATTTGTTCCCACGCTTTGTGATTGACCTAGTTCTTCCGCTTCCGCCAACGACATCAAAAAACTAGTTTTCACTAGATCGTTGAGTCTTACACGGGGTCAGAACGCTGTTTTCACTAGATAGTACAGCTGCTCTACGCTTATAACGACTGCGTCTCTATCGCTAGAGAAAACCAGTCTTTAACCCTTCACTCCTAAACCAACGATGGAAAAAGTGAGTGCCGAGAGTCTCGACTCGGGTAAGGATCCCGCATTCCGACTCTTTTTTCACGACAATCCCGCATCCCGAAATTCTGTCATCTCTATCCCGAATACCATTTTCTTTCCCAATACCGCATCCCGTGCCAACATTTTAGCGAATCCCACTCCCCGAGGGCGGTCAAGTCCCGTATTTTTAAGAAAGTTTGCGTTTTCATGAATCCCACACTATAAATAATTCAAATCCCTGATCCTGAGAATATTCCTCCACGGGAGAGTTGAAAAAACTGACCCCCACTCCGCGGACTACCCACTGACCCCACTCCGCGGACTACTCTACGGACTACTCCGCGGACTACTCTACGGACTAGTCCGCGGACTACCTTGCGGACTACCCTAACTAATCAACCAAATTTACTTTCACGGAGAAAAGAGTTAGAAGAAGCGTACCTGCCTACAAGATCACACTTGATAAACAGCCGCCATCTTGATTTTCGCCATTTTACTCGACCCAGCTCTCCTTTAGCCTCGCCCCAGTCTTCATCGGCCACAAGTCAGAGCACGCCGTTCAGCCAATCGATGACCACTATTGGCGCTGGTAACAGTTTTTGTTATATTCAGCTTAAAAATGTTTTTAAGAACTTACTTATAGCCGTGCTTGGAAGTCACCATATTTTTGGATTCACCTGGCCCACAAGGCCCTTGGAGACGTATTCTCCTACGTAGGGCACGCAGTCGTTATTTGGATCGTCACGCGAGGTTTGGAGAGAAGCGTTGCGTGACGATCCAAGAACGGAAGCTGCAATGGACGTAGCAATGAAGAAGAAGGGCTGGGTCGAGTAAAATGGCGAAAATCAAGATGGCGGCTGTTTATCAAGTGTGATCTTGTAGGCAGGTACGCTTCTTCTAACTCTTTTCTCCGTGAAAGTAAATTTGGTTGATTAGTTAGGGTAGTCCGCATGGTAGTCCGCGGACTAGTCCGTAGAGTAGTCCGCGGAGTAGTCCGTAGAGT